ATCCAAATGATGAATAGAATATATCAGTCTCATGTGGATCTATCATGAAACTAATGCAACGAAAAATATATTGATTATCGATTGGATGAAAAATATATAGGGACTGATATATATTCCAAAAGAAAGTGATCAGACTTGACTTGAAACTAAGCGGCATTGTATTGTGTATATTAGATCTAGTTTTGATTATCAGCTTATATCGGCGCGCGGCTTCGCCGCGCGCCGATAGATGCGCTATATAAGGTAGTCACAAAATCTAAGTAGTGAGGCTCTCAAAAATTGAACCGTACTCCATACAAAATTTGTGCACCCTCACTACTTAGATTTTGTGGCCTTCAATTGAGAGGTTAGTTTTGATAGAGCACGTTATAAAATTAAAAGGGAAAAATAAATAAAAATTTAAACATTTAATTATATATAATGTAAGGAGTGTAATTCCAAATTTTCTAAAAACTATTCAAATTTGAGCATTTTTTTGGAAATAGTAAATATAATATGTACATCTAATAACAACATGATTCATCACCTTTTCAAGCTCTGCAGTCAATTTTTTGAAATTTGATTGAAATAAATGTAGCGAAAATTACATTTCATTAGGGAATATATGAGTTTCTCTGGAAACAGGCTGATAAATTTTAAATTTTGTCCAATCAACATGAATGCTTTGAGAAATTTGGATTGATTTTCTGGTAGAATCTGGAACAATTCAACCATGTATAAATGGATCATGTAATCATCATGAAATGTTAGTGTTAGAGTTCAAAAGAAACAGAATGAGTGGAAATCAAACACGATCTGAATAATTTTAAACGTATACAATCTTTAAGTTTGTATTTTGAATTCTACATATATGATTGTGTAATTCGTTCTTTCAAATTTTCGGATTCAGGCATGTTTTGATAAAATTCATTCCCAAAAACGTCAATTAACAATTAAATTTAGTGTATTTTAAATATATATACGTATTATATTTTATAAATTATATTAAATTCGCAAAATTTTAAGTTTTAAACAAAAATAAAAAATCTTCAAAATATGAAATTATGCATAGGATATTAAAATTTACATGTTAGCAATTTTTTGAATTGCTTTCAATTTTCATATTGAAATTTTTAAGATTTTTTCTGAAATAATAAGCAAGAATATCAACCTAAATAATATTAAATTCCATGCGTTAATTTCCCCTCAAAAGTCATTGACCGCCTCTCAATCTAGATTTTGTGAGTACTTTATATATAAGACTAAAAATATTTTTTTCGTCGTCTTTAATTAAATCAAATTAGCTATCTAAATTTCATATTTTCGTGACTTACTTTTGACCATTTTCGGTTGCAATTTTTAATCGTTTTTAAACTAATAGCATTTATCAATTTATGTTATATTAAATTGCGGATTGATCCATTTAAATCGCCGAAAATTCAATGATCAAATAATTTCAAAAATAAATCATGCTCAAAATTCGATTTTAATCAGTTAAATTTATTCCTTATTACCAATATATATATAATAATCTCATAAATCACATCGAAATGCTGGACTGCTTGTTAGATATCATGAAGCTTTTTTAAATAAGTTAGAGATTTATAATGGATTACATCCATAATGTGCAAATATCATATTAAAAAGAGGATACAAAGTGAGAGACAAAGATGACTTTACAAAACCGCCCATGAATTGCGGTTTTGGTCAACCCTTTTCCCACATAATGTCCGACAAAGCTCAAGCTGCTGCAAAGACACTCGCTCAGGGCCAGAAGAAGGAAGTTACAAAGACACGCAACTTCACAAAGTTCGGCAAGAATGCTGCTCAGGTTGTTCCAAGACGCCCAGCATTCGAGCACAAGGCTGTCAAGCCAGTTTCTCTTAAGCGCAATGATTACAAGATCATCCGCGGCCCAGTTACATCTGATAAGTCTACAGTTAAGATTGAAAACGAGAACACAATGACATTCTGGGTTGATATCAAGGCTACAAAGACAGAAATCGCCGCTGCCTTCAACCGCCTTTACAAGGTTAAGCCAGTTAAGGTTTGCACAGTTATCACCTCCAAGTTCGTCAAGAAGGCTTACATCCGCCTTCCAGCTAACGTTGAGGCTATGAACATTGCTACTGAAATTGGCTTCGCTTAAGCGAATAAACTTTGATAAAATACTACAAACACCGCAAAATCATGAAAAAATACATGCAAAATCTTTTAATATAATTATCACCCAAAAATATATCTAAATTCAGCAAAAACAAGCAAAATGTTTAAGTTTGTCTACTTCATGACAAATTTTCTAAGTAATATTTTAAGATTTTATTTTGCTGATTTCTCTATTTTCTGAATTAATATACTTACATGAGCTGGTTTGTGAATGTCTAAGCTTTCACTCAAATTAAATTTGATTTTCAATTCGCTATTTCTTTATTATTACAGCAAGCCAAATATTTCCTTTATGACTTGCAATATGAAGAACATATTCAGTAAAGGCAGTTATCTTTTTCTAATGTTCTTCTTCACTTGAAAAATTATCAAGAAATTGGTTAAAATTGTCAAAATTACTGGATTGCCTAAGCTCTGCAATCTTGGTTAAAAATATTCTCGAAAAGTTGACTTTCATTAATTTGATTCTACTTATATTTTGATATACCGGTGTTAATTTTTGGAGTTAGAGACTTTTATGAGAAGAGTTAATATCAGCTTATATGCTTTGTGCATGCCCAACCAATAAAATTCCCGAGACGACTGCTCGTATCTTACGGGTCAATTTATTACAATGCTCAGACTAAGGGTTTCGTTTTGCGAAAAAAACGTACAATACGCAATTTCGCTAAAAAAACATTTAGCTAGCAATTTCGACCTTTGACTCCACTCAAGACGTCACTTTTTTAATTTTGCGGTATCATATTTTTGGAAAATCTTTATGAATATTATATAAAAAATCTCTTTAATATCTATATTTCATATTTTTATCGATTGTTAAAGTTTTTGCGAAAAGTATTCAATTATTTTTGCTATTTGGTCGGGTAAATGTCAGATTTGCGACATTTTCTGATATGATATTCAGGTTCTACGTTGATAATAATGCTTATAGAACCCTTTTGCTATTGTGTCAAAATTGCGAAACCGATAGCAAAAATATCTCGCAATATCAAAATTGAGATATTGAGTGAATTATGCATTATAGAGATTAAAAATCTGATTTGTGAAAACATCTCATCAGTTTCTAGCTAATTCAAAAATCTTTACTATCTTATTCGATTAAAATGAAAAGGGAATAGTTTCATTATGCTTTAAATGACAGCCTTATAATATAATCATAGTTTTCGCTCAATATGCAGCATTTTTTTTTCGAAATCTATGGTCAATGTCCTAAATACTGATTGCTTTGCATTCATATCTCTTACATTTTCTATACCCACATCACTATTCATTGCTATTCCTATCTTTTTCATTTTTGTTTGTTTCTCATAATTTCTCAAAAAACACGATAACTTGATATTTGTAAATATCATACTTTATAACGTAAATAAGAACTTGACCTATTAAGAAAAGCAGTAATGAAAAGAAAATCTGAAATTCATAAAAATTACAAGTTTCTGATGACAATTAGCTTAATTAAACCAGGTACAAGATTATATAATTGTATTTTCTATCCAATTATCCATATAATATCTTATCCAGAAAAAATAACTTGATCAATACCAAATGATTTTTTAACTAGTAAATAAAGTATTTTCTTTACACACACATTGTATATCATAGTTTTTTTTGGTTTCGCAAAACATCCAAAAACAAATATGCTATAAAAGTGACAATTTTAGCAAAACGAAACCCTTACTCAGACGAAATATATTAGTATAGTGTTTAGTGATTTATACATTCAAAGAAAATTAAAAAAAGTACTAAATTTTAATATCATGTTTAAGGGTGCACACGAGAGGATCATGTAAACTTCAGAATTTAGAACCTTATTTTTAGGCATTATCTTGGCTACCTATTTAGGCTCGAAAAGCAAAAAATATCAAAAAATACAACTTGACTCCATTCTGACCCTTTCATGGAGGTAGTTTTTATCCGCTAGTATTTTCCCTTTGAATCTCTTTACAATTCGAAATCAAATTCAAAACTCAGTAGAAGAAAGGAAGAATCGACTTACTACGGTTGTAATACGAATAAATACATATATTTAATTATTTTTATTTACATAATAATTGTTTGAAGCTCATATTCCAACAAATTTTTAAATAAAAACATTAAAATGTTGAAAATGTTCATATATTTTAATAGGGTTTTGGCACTTTATTGAGGAATTACTACATACATAGTCGAACTGAACTTGATATTTTGAAATTTAAATTATTTATCAAAATTAAAATTTAACTTGAAATTTATAATTATTTAGTCATATTTTGCATAATTCTAAGTAGATTTTGTAAAAAATCAAGAAAGAAAAATTTTAACGTGCTTTATTTTTTCTTTTTTATAATAATACATTATTATATAATTAACATATTCATAATGTTTCACCCTTTCAAAAATATAATCCTCCTCCTCTCAAATAAACGTACATACGGGTGGCCTCTTTTTTCAAAAAATTAAAATTTGAAATTTTGGGCTCAAATATTAGAGATTTTTTCAACCTTCAACGATATATGTTGTCTATATCAGACCTCCTTTCTTTTTGATACTTAACATTGTTCCTAAATCTTAGCCGTTAAGGCTGTTCTGAAAATATTTTTTTTTCGAAAAAATTCGAAAAAAATTCTTAAAATTCAAAAATCCCTTAATTCCTGAGGATTTTGGAAAAAAGTTTTTACATGAACATGTGTATATTATATGAAGTATATTGATAAGGTAAAAATCAAATTTTATTGCATATTCATCGAGAAAATAAACTAACGAATCCCTCAAAATTGAGAGGGTAATCCTCCTCCTCTCAAATAAACGTACATACGGGTGCACCCTTAAAAACACTAAATATACAAACAAAAAACAAACATATAACAATATAAGATTCAAAGATCTAACTGAATCTTTTTTGGTGGGGCTTTCCTACCAATAGATAAAATCACAGAAGCATTAACTTGTTGTCTTGAAGTTAATCTTCTGAGATTCACGGGATGTTTCTTCAATACTAAGTTTGGAATCTGTATTTTAACTGGAACGCATTCATTAACTGATTTTCTTCTATCTTTCTTTGTTCCAAAGGATTCTAAATGTTCTATTAAGTAATTTCTTCTAACAAGATTATACTCTAATGATGAACATTTCTTGATACCTTTTTGTTTAATTTCTTCTACGATCTTGGAATAATCAACTCCTAAGACGCCGAGGCTCTCGGCAATCTTTTCTTTATCGTATTTGAATGCGTCAAGTTTCTCTTCGACAAATCTAATTTGGTTCTTTACCCATGGATGTTCTTCTATTTCTGACAATTTAATTCTCTTTGTCTGGTCTTTGGTAAGAAGTTTTTGAATAAGATCGATGAGTTGTGAACTCATACCACTTGGAAATTCTACTTCTTTGAAGATTATCTTTTGAGCAAGCCTTGCCATATTTGGATCATCAAATGGCAGATTTCCAGTGACTATTTCGTATAAGACTATTCCAGCGCTCCATATGTCGCTGCTGTAATCATACTTTTCTCCTAAAATCATCTCTGGAGAAGCGTATGAAGGTGTACCGCATTGTGTTTTCAAGATTTCGTCTGTTGCCTTTGTATTACTTAGGCCAAAATCGATTACACGGATGTTACCGTTCTTATCGAATAGGATGTTATCGCTCTTTAAATCTCTATGCACGACATTACATTTTTGGTGAAGAAATTTAAGAACTAAAACAATTTGAGCAAAAATGATAGCTGCATTTTCTTCTGTAAATGGTCCCATTTCATTCAATGTGTTACGAAGGGTACCATTACTGATGTACTCCATAACAATGAAAATAAAATCATTGTTTTCAAGAACTTCATAGAAATCAGCTATGAAGGGATGTGGGATATGTTTCATTATATCAATTTCTCTTCTAACTAAAGCCAAGTGGGAATCATTATCGTCAACAATTTTAGGAATCTTTTTTATTGCAACTGGAAGTCCAGAAGCTTTATGTATGGCATAATAAACTTCTGCAAATCCTCCGTCTCCTATCTTGTGCTGAACTTCATATTTAGATAGTATAGGAAAATTCATAAAAGCTATTATAAGAATGAGTTATCTATTAAAATAAGAAAAATTTCAATGAGAAAATTTTTTGTGTTAAACGTGAATTTTAAGTTTATGGAAAATAGTTTGGAATCGTGTAAAGAGGAATATTATCAAAAATATTTTGAAGATGTAAAATGAAATTTGGATGATTTTGAATAGCTTTTTAAAAGTAAATCAATTTGGTCATTTCATTTTATTGTTAAAAAGGATTGTATATAATAAACCAAACAATATTTATAAAATCTTCGCCAATCAATTGCGTTTCTTTTTGAAAATAAAACGGATGAAGAAAATATTCTTATCGATGATAAGAAGAAAGTAAAGATTATGGGTTAACGATTAGGTGGGATTGAATGGTACTCAAAAGTTTATTTTTATTATTTTTAAATGTGTTGCTTATCAAGTTCAAATAATAATTTAATAAACGAAAAATTGAGATTTCTTCTATGACATTTCTTGAAATAAAATTTGTTTATTAGCTGATGCCATTAGATTTATACTAATTTCAGTTTTTGGTTTGAATTTGAATCAACGTGCTTCTCAACGAATCTCATGGTTTTAATTTATTCATATAAAGAAAAATAGAGATAATTTATTTTTGAATTTTATGTCGGGCCATTTAATTTGAATATTCCCCACAAATATTGAATTCCTCTAAAAATTCACAAAGAAACATTCAAAAGAAGAATTTACTTAATAGATTTATATTTAATCAAGATTCCTAAAATCATGATTTCTATGAACAATAAGTTCGTTTTCTTGGCCAACGTTGTCAAATAATGTTTTTCCATTTGGAATATCATTAATATCAGCCATCTTATTTTTGCAGTGAATCCTTTATGTAATTTTTGTTCGATAGCGATGTGTAAAATTGATCAATTGCCTAATTTGACAATCCTTAATTCAATTTGATAAAAACATTCCTTTGGTCATCAACTCAACTTATATTTAACTCAGCCAAAATTTCAAATTAACGAATTAATTTACAAAAATGAAATACTCGAATTATGAATTCGGCATTCATATAAATAGTTAGTTTTCAGATAGATCTTCTTATTATGATAAATTATGAATATTAGATTTGTTTACAGAGTACAATAACCTTCAATTCAATTTGTTTTATAATTTTGATAGTATAAAAAATGGCATAAAAACATAGTGAGCCATTAAGGGAAATATAATATTAAAATCAATATATCCAAATCATGTATAGTTTATTAAAAACAAGGTAGAAAATAGCAAAATTAAATTATCGGAAAAAAATAAATTTGTCTGATAAGAGAGTATTCGTGTGAATATATCATAACTCTTCTTTGCCACCAAGGACATAATAGATATTAAAGTAAAACCATACCCATCAAAAAAACAATGAAATTATATTCAGAATTAAACGTCCGATGATGGTGTATAGTAAATAATTTTGTTATGTGTTCTTACCATCATTGTTCTCATGATATATTCCGGTCAGAAAAAAATAAAATTAATAATTTTGTCAAAATAACAATTTTTTGTAAGAGAATCATATTATAAGTCATTAGAAACTTCATTGTATACCTAAATTATGATATAATAACTGCAAATAATTATTTTCTGAGAAATCTATCAGTTTTTCGATATATTCCTGCAATGACTTTATCGAACAGTCATTATTTATTGGTTTCTTGAGTTCTTTATATCCGCATCCAACTAATTTCGAAATTTGTTTTCCAATTTTGAGACAATCGGCGCCATTTATCTTTCTTTCTATCATTTTGGCATCCTTACTCAAGAATATACTATATATTGCTGTTGTCAAGTGCGAGAACACGTAATATTTTGAAGAATGAATTGTATCCGCAATTTTATAGATTGGATCACTTTGGTTGAGTACAACAACTTCGTATTGAGGTGTATTCATTACCTGTGGATAATCTCTCGCGAAATATTCATCAACAACAATTTTCTTTTTTCTCATCTTTGATTTGGCCAATAAGTCTCTAAAACTATGTATAACATTAGAAGGATATGACAAAGTCAAATTGTAAATGAATTCAAAGTAATCGCTCTTTTCAATGTTTGGTATTTTTGCAAAAACTCCAAAACCGAAACATCGATGATGCGTGTCTTCTTTAAATTGTTCGCTCAATCTAAAATATGTCTCATGCTCTTCTTTCAGGATTCCAAACCTCTTTAATTTGATTCCATTATTTATTAGAATATTATTCTTAAATAACGGTATTAATGTACTCACTATGACCATCCATGGCTTTCTGGATGCCGCATATGCGAAAACTGTTGTCCATTTATCAGTTGGCCACTTTATAAAAGTTTTCGGGTTGCGAACATCGAAAGTAATGTTCTGTATTGGTGACAAACTAACTGTTTTTGTAGAAATATCTTGTTTCGAAAGAAATATTATTTCGTTTTCGTTTTCAACACAAAAATCTGTTGAAACAAACATACTTGGATCATTTACGCGAACATTACTTGATCCATCATTCGAGAGATCGACATCTTTGATAAGAGCTTTGTCTGTTTTGATGAGTTGATTGCTGCAACTGATATTGATTTCAACTTCTTCAGGAAATTGATGGTATAGACAGAATGTTGTTTCTGGATATGAACCTGATATAGATTCAGGTGTATTATATGGATATTTTACAGTCTGCCATGAATTTCCAATCGAAATCGAAAATAATTTGTAAAATGCAAGGCGTGGCTTCTTTAATTGTGGTAACGTCTTGGCAACAAAACAAAATTTGTTGTGAAACTGCTTGATTGTTACATCAGTATTTGGACAAATTTCTTTTATACGAGGAACTTCTATACTTATAAACCTGTACCTCTTATACCTATATGCAGCAACTAAAATTACGCAGCATACAATGAAAAATATGAGATTTCTGTTTTTGTCATGCGGATGTGGCCTCAAAGTTTTCTTCCTCATTTAAAAATTTATTTACTGAAATTAAAATTCTTCTCAAAGATCTTCGCATTGTATGGATAATAATTATATAACAAAATGACATTGTAAAAACTGTGGTATTCAATTTTTGCCACTTTTCCTATTTTCAATTAATCAATAGGAATAGGATCTGGACATTTTTTCATTGGCTTTTAGAGAAAAATTTATGTAATATTCAGTAATACTAATGAAATTATTAGCATCCTAAATAATAGTTTTGAAAAAATCAAAAAAATGTCAATATCAACTCAGATAATAAAGCATATAAGGCATTACAACTGGTATGGATATCTTGTATGCATCAAAACATAAATATGTTCCTGTGTCTTTAAAGAAATAAATAAGAATTTACAAACAATAACTAAAATTATAAATTATCAAAAGAATAAAACAGTAAATTACATACATGTAAGGCATAGATTAGATGAATCCCTGCATTACGTCAATACTTGACTGGTAATCCAAGAATTGAAGTTTGGCCTTGCAGAAGTTTCGATCATTAGTGAATCTATGTATTCTTTGGATGTTTCATATGATAAAACAATGATTCTCAAATATTTTCCTGTCAATTGGCGAATATTTGTAACGAAATCAACCAAATTTCCTTTTGGTTCATTGTTTTCATCAACGAGGTTACGAAATTCTTCTTCAAGAAGTGGATTCGTGCACCATAATAAAATATTATTATAACATCCAAGGGCAAAGATTCCAGAAGCAATGTTTTCGATCCTTAGAGCTAAAGTTTTCTTGTTTTCTATGTCATACAGCATAGGATATGCGTAAAGAATCGTTTCAGAAACAGATGTCATTCTCAGATTCAAAATTGCGGCCATTTTGTAGTCAATATTCGGCAAAATGCTCTCAGTGAATATTCTATTCTTCAATATTCCGAATATAATATGATGTAAAGATTTGAATTTCGAATTTCTGTTCACAATTTCCCAGAAAGCTTGATTCATGCCTTCCATACTATCTCTTGATCCAGCAGAGAGAATATTTAATGTAGCAGACTTAACTAAAAACGTTCCTAAGGCTGCTTCGTCGAATCCTGATTGTAACACTGAAATTTCCGAAGTCACCGGAATTTCGAAGTTGAAGACCCTTAATATTCGCTTCCCCGTGGATGATGTAAACAAAAGTGCCGCCTGAAATTTCGCATTATTGATCGGCTTTTTTACGGTCAATCCGAAAGTCAAACTTGCGTTAGATGGCAATACAGCGATACTTATTCCATCTTTGAAGTTCGTCATATTTCCAAATATCTTTGTTTGTTGGATTCCATCTGATTCTCTTAATCTCATGCTTGCATTCCATAAATAGCGGCTTGTTATAGATACAAATAGGTCACTGTGAAGTTGGAGTGGATCAAATTCTTTGTAGTATCTGCATAATCCGCCAGTTAAGCCACAAGCAAGTCCAGAGACAGCTACTTCGGCATGTGACTTCGAACAAATAAATAGATGCAATGAAATACCTCTTTTCGACATTAAAAGTGCTAAATCCATGTATTTCTTACATTGATTGTTTTTTGGAATATGTAAGAGCTGGATTTCACTGTCTTCTGTCGTATGGCCTTGTACCCTCGATGCTACAGCATATGGACCAATAGAAGGAGTTGTGCATGTTCCTGCAATGATAATTCCGCCATAAATTCTTAAAGCGGAACAGGCGATTGCGTATGCACTGCCTAGACAATTTCCTTGACCATGACTATGCTTTTTGAGTAGTAAATCTAATAATTTGTTAAATTCTTTTCTGCAATCGCGAAGAGTAACGATATAATTCGGAGAAACAACAAAATCTTCTGGATCTATCACAACCACTTCTTTACAGGCTTTGATATCATAAATTGAGGCGAATTTTGTGATGGTCATGACGCAAACATTTGTTTTGTCTGATAACTGTTCAACTGATGATTTGACTGATCGTATAAATTGAGCTGTGAAGCCCGAATCAACTGCCTGACTTGATAAATCGATAATAAAAACAAAAGAAGGCATTACAAATGCTTTTTGTACGTAATCTTGAGGTGCAACAACATCATAAACCATGTTTCCAGTTAGCATTTGCGGAATTTCTGGCATATTTTCTGGAAAATTTGTTTTTGCACCGCATAGACCACAAATCCATTGCTTTTTTCTTTCATCGACTTTACAGAAACATGAGATATATGCTTGGCATTTATTGCAACGAGGAATTGTTGAATTTGATAAATCGACCCTTGGCAATTTTCCGACTGTCCCTGGTTCTACGACGATTCCATATGGCAGTTTAGATAGTGCTTCCAATTCTGGTGAATTTGGTATTGCAGGTGTTAATGTTCTAAAATAAGTTGGGAAATTCTGGCAAGTGTTACCAATAAAGTTGTCATTTCCCCATGGAAATATCGTATTTAGGGATCTTGGCGATGAAATGTTCGGAATTATTGATATGAGCGGAGAACTATCCGATGGTTGAATATACCTCCGCATCCCTAAATGAAATTTGCTTCGAAATAAAACAAAACACTTCCAGCTTAGAATAAAATATCATAATCGTTTTTCGGTTTCTGATCACAGAATCGGAAATGAAATGATCAAACAATTATTGGCCAACGAGAATTACCAATGTATATGGTCTATAATACTTATAGAGTAGCTTAAAGTATATCTTACACTTCATATAAAGTAATAAAATTCTTCATATTGTTTATTTAATAATTACTTTATATATATTAAAGATGTTACGAAGACTTTGCGGATATTTATTCTACAATAAATTAGATTCTTATTTTTATATTTTTTATGATTTATTTTTGATAGTTTTTGTTCAGAAATTTTATATATTAGTATTCTTGATTATTTGGTTGGCGCAAGCGCCAACCAACTAGTGAATATTTTCAATTTTTCAAAAAATTATTTAATTTGGCCGAAGGTGGCGTGCTTGCCCCAAGGGCAAGCGAAGCCACCTGAGGCCCCAAATTATATTTGATCAAATATATATCTTCACACTGCAGATATATAAATCACATGATATGCTTGTTTTTTTTTAATCTCTTTTAGATTTTGAAACAGTGAAACGATAGAGTATGATCAGTGTATGCTATATTTACATTTATTCATAAAAATATCAATTCTATCAGAGAGAAAAAAATAATTAAGGGTGGCGGAAAGTGATGTGACCGAATAACAAAAAGTTAAAATAACTAAATAAATATTTGAAATTCTTTTGTTATTGTAACATAACTAAATAGTGTATCTAAATAAGTATTTACTACAAAGTTTGTGTAGTCTGAGATCTCTATCTGGTAGAGAAATAATGAATGAAAAAATTGAATTTTCAACTGTATCTAGTCTCTGGTTTTTGAATTAATATCAAAAATACTTAATGCATGCAATATAGGTACATAGATCTATCTTTTCTATTGAACAAAACACGTATCTATTAAATTCGGCTAAGATGCAATAAGTGATGAGATTTGGAACTACTTATAAAATTTGCACAAAATCAATGTATGAGAATAAACGACATATATATACCAATTACATCCGATACTTTTCTTTTCAGTTTGCACCCATTCAGAGTTTAATTAGATTTGTATCTAGTCTTTCAATATAAGATAAGGAGTCTTTCTTCATATTTAAATATATATAAGATGTTGTTTTCTATGTTTTCTATTGAGCATATTTTGTGCTTAAAGCTCTAATCATGAGATATTTAAATTTTTTTACTCCTATCAAACGCGAAATTCAAATATTTATCATAGGATGGAAAACCAAAAGCTTGCATATATGATAATGAAATTATGGCATACATATACTTCTACAAATGAGATTTGTAGCTATATAATTTTTACCGAAAGATATTAAATATATGACGAGATAATAGCATTTTATTTTTGTTCATTCACTTCACTTTCCGCCACCCTTAAGTGCAAAAAATTGAATAGTTGTAAACTAAGGCAGTTAGCCCTTAAGGGTCCACTGTAAAAATTGAAAGTCTCTCAAAATTGAGAGGCGATTTGCAAATAATCGTTATCGTCTTTTATCGAAAATCCACTTTTCCTAGTGTTCTGATTAATATTTTGTGAATGTAACAATGAAGTATATGTTTTAGTAAGATGATAATATATTCTATCACTTCAAATCACATAAAAATTGCAAAATCAGCGAGTTTTATAAGAGCATGATTTTTTCGAATTTTTTCGCTTTAATGCCATTACATCCTAATATTGTGATACATGTAGTTTATATTTATTGAGGCTAATGCCGGAATATCGTGCATTTTATAAAAAATTCAAAGAATTGACAATTGGATAGCACAAATTTAATTCTCTAGACAAAGTATTATTGTTTATATATTCAAAGCATTATCCTTAGTTTTGAAATGTTGGCAAAAAATTTTCGTGTTATTTTTTGTGTTTCAGCATAAAATATGTATTGACTTATGAAAGATAAGCATTTTATTCATTATCATAAAGATATACCATAACAAATTGATAAAATTTTAAAAAATGTGTTTTTTAGTGGGTATTATTCTGGCCAATGCCCATTTTTAAACGATTTAATATTGACCATATCAATAGCCGACTCAATGTAAAAATTTAGATATTATTTTTTTCATTATTCAAACTTTGATAAATTTTAGTATAATGAATGATTTTGTTTCGTGTATGATACAGAAATGAAAAGCTTAATTAATATCATTTTGCATTTTTTCAAGAATGTTAGAGTACATCTACATTAAAAAATCGAATTCGAATTGCGATACTGCATCAAATTGTTGCACATCTGATAAGGATCTCAAAAGAGTAAAGTTAATTTTTTGTGTTTAAGAATTAAGCTAACTGGGATATTTATTCACGGAATATCTGGAAATGAGTTCATAAATTCCAAAGGAATAATATAGTCAAAAAAATTATTAGTCAAAAATTTTAATGTTAAAACGAACGCCTCCAAAAGATTCCCTTACTAAAGCATGCGAAGAAGGAAATCTCGAACGGATTAAATCTCTTATAGAAAGTGGTAACTATATAGTAAAATCTTTAGATTTACCACTCATTTCTGCATCACAACAAGGTCATCTTGAAGTTGTTAATTATCTTATCTCTGTTGGAGCTAATAAAGATGCAAAGAATAAAGATGGATGTACTCCACTCATTTTTGCATCACAACAAGGTCATCTTGAAGTTGTTAATTATCTTATCTCTATTGGAGCTGATATAGAAGCAAAGGATGTTGTTGGATATACTCCACTCATTTGGGCATCAAAAACAGGTCATCTTGAAGTTGTTGAATATCTTATCTCTGCTGGAGCTGATAAAGAAGGAAATAATAATGGTGGAATTACTCCACTCATTTGTGCATCACTTAATGGTCGTCTTGAAGTTGTTAAATATCTTATCTCTGTTGGAGCTGATAAAGAAGCAAAGAATAAACTATTTGGATATACTCCACTCATTCGTGCATCAGCAAATGGTAAACTTGAAGTTGTTAAATATCTTATCTCTGTTGGAGCTAATAAAGAAGGAAAGGATAATGCTGGATGTACTCCACTTATTTGGGCATCACAACAAGGTCATCTTGAAGTTGTTAATTATCTTATCTCTGTTGGAGCTAATAAAGAAGGAAAGGATAATGCTGGATGTACTCCACTTATTTGGGCATCAAAAAAAGGTCATCTTGAAGTTGTTGAATATCTTATCTCTGTTGGAGCTGATAAAGAAGCAAAGGATAAAAATGGAAAGACTGTTCTTGATGTTGCAAAAAGTTCTGTGAAAGAGTACTTTTTTGAAGACAAAACAGAATAGAGAATAATTATAGACGGTGATAATATCTGTTGAAGTTCAATTCTTTGTCTTAAAAATAAACAATATCCATTTGAGATTTGTGTTAAGGCTCTAGTCCCACATGATTGTTGTATATAGTTAGAATGAGTGGATAATGTGGAGTAAAAATATACCATTAGATTGTTTATACATCCACCATGTAAGAAATTTAAATAATATCTGATTTCGAAATTTTCGAATTTAACTATATTATAGTTTGAAAGATGATATATGTTAACTTTTCTATTTGATATATGGCAAATAAAGATTTTTTGATAATTGATAATTTGAATTTTATAATTATAGATTTTGAAGCATAATGATATCATAAATGAATAAACATGTGGTTAATTATAACATTTTTATATGATTGGATTAGCTTCTTACCATGGGATTAAGTTATTGAAAGTTAATTAATGTCACTTTTATAAAAATCAAGTTTAAGGTTTAAATTTTAGTTATAAAATCGATTTGATTCAACATGTTGGAAAGGAATTTATTGGTCATTTCTTTTGGAAATTAATAAATTATAACTTATACTATTACGTCATAAAATTTGTTCAAATTTTTATAATGCTTAAGGGTGCCCTAAAGTAATGAAATTGTTGTTCAAAAACATTTCAGCTCTATCGTCAAAATTTCTCTCAATTTGGAAAAAATAACAAAAATTACAATCTCGCAAACCTAATTCCTCAATATACCTTTCACAGCTGGGTATACTGATAGTGTCGATAAAAACTATATAATTTTCCTAACAAAGTGACAGAGCGGAACTAAAAGTTTTTTCTTAGATATTGAGAATATGCTTTTGAAAAATTGAATACTGACTTGTTTATTTATGGATTAGATCAAATTATATTACTTATTATTATATTTTTGTTGGAATGTATTTGAATGCTATTAGAAAAAAAGTTGTAAATATATTAATAATAGCGCATTTTAATACAAACAAAAAAAAAATAAACTAATTTTTATCTATCAGAGTTACCATACTTGATAACTGCAATAGAACCTTTTGGTGAGGTGAATCCAAAGGATTCGAAAAACCTCTAACCAAAAAATCTGATAAAATTGCTGTCCATCTCACTAAAGCAGGGCAGCTACTGTGATGAAGTATCACAGGATGTCTAATAGGGCCTGTTTCCAATGCATCTGATTTCTTCCTTACGTCAACAAAATACAATGAATCAGATAAAGGAAAAACAACAACATGGTGATCATTAAACTGGGAAACGATCGTTGCCGTGTTCCATGGTATATCGATATTTTCATTCCATACTACCAAAGAGTTGTCATTTCCTACGTGTTTCTTCTTTTGAATTTGTTGAGAGTCTCCTTGTTTAGTTGGCATCATTGTAGAGACATGGAACATTGTTTCAAGTCTTTTATCAGTGAAATACAGTGATTGGACGCCGTTTCTGTTCTCAATTGTGTCTAATTTTCCACAATAAGATTTGAAATTCTTCAAAAATATAATTTGGCCCATTTCTGATAAGAATTTCTGATACTGTTCAGTAGTATCTTTGTTTTCCATTGCTAAGATGTCACTTTGTAAAATTTTGCCTTTTTTGACATAAATTATGCCAATTTTACATGTCAGTTTTTGTAAAGTTTCGAAAAGTGCTCTTGATTCTCTTTCCAAGGCTTTATTTTGTGCTCTAATGGTAAACTTCGTATCAATGATTCCACCAAATATCGAGCCAATGTTCTGTTGTGGAATCCATTGCTTGGATTCCGGAATTGTCGTTATTTCAGCTGATGAAGAAGGAGGAATCGCTCCTTGGACTTCAGGGAACTTTATTTGTGGGAAAGATGTTGTAGGGATGTAAGAGGAGTTCATAGATTTCGGAGGAATCGATGGTTGATATCCTGCAAAATTGGAAATGAACTTGTCGAAGTTAGGAATGGTCAGGCGTGAGAAATCATGAGTTTTTACCTCTGTTTCCGTGCTGTTTTCGGATTCTTTGGCATCATCAAAGTGTAATTTATAAGATGAAGCAGAAATTGCATGTTTCGTGGAAACAGAAAATGTATCATCGTTGTTTTTCTCACAAAGAGCAAATTTGTCTTCGAAAATTTCGTATTGTGGATTCTTATGATTTGGAAATCCACTTTTTTCACAATCTGTGTACTTTGAGAGAACAGTATCTCTTATTATCATCACAATATCATTATTCACGAAGTTTGGAGCCTCTTTTTCGAAGATTTCATATAAATTTATCGATTTTATTATGATATCTACGCAAAGAGAGGACAAATACTCAGAAAAGGAGGTCAATTGTGATATCTTGAGGATCTTAATGAGTAATTTGATGGCGTTCTCCAAAAAATCCGGGAATGGTTTTTCAATATTTGTCTGATCTGAAAGAATCATGTGCAAAAACGCCCAATAAGCATCAGGAGCACCCGTAAATTGGTCGAAAAGTGTGTTACAATTGACGTATTTCGCTAATTCGACGTCATTTATGCATAAATAATGGACAAGAACCTGTTCTTGGACCAGATTCATGTTTTTGTTGACCAAACAAAAGTCATCCAAATAGGAAATCGGTTTAAAACGGTCAGGACTGTTCTCATTCAACAAAATTGAGTAAATGGAGGTCATTAAAGCACAAATAGAGATGGCTTGTTGATGGTTGACTGTTACATTCTTGATTCTTTCAAGATTTATGACAATCAAATTTATAATTTCTTTTGATTTCAATTTTGTTTCAAGAAGACTTAAGTTTTCGGAGATGTACAGCAGCAAATCAATATCTGTAAGATCTCTTGATAATTTCTGAATCATTCTTTTAACAAATTTGTCCCAATGTGAGTCTAATAATTTGGTATTCGCTCTGAAAAGGGAATAAGCGAAGCTAACGTCGATTTCATTAATATCCAAAATTGGTAGGATCTTGTCGTACACTAATTGCATTGAAAATTCAAATTCATAAGGAATATTGTAAATTATTTCAGTTAAAGCGTTCACAACATACTTTAAATAAGTTACATCCTTATTGACAATTGCATGGTCCAATATGTCATTGAATAACTTGAGTTTTTGTTCAGAATTCCAGTTTAATCTTAAAGAAGAAGGAATAAAGAACTTTGTAGAGTATCCAGACCATTGGAATGCTGTAGTAAGGAATATTGTTGGATCTGTTTCCATTAAACTCAATTTTTCCAAGAAAATTGGAGATAATTTTCGATCTCGAGCTTTTTGACTTGTAGAGCCATAAGTCTTTGAGAAAGCTATTAGTTTAGACAGATCTATTGATAACAGTTCAGGAAACATGTGCATTGTCAGTAATTGAGCTAAAATTATTTTGAAATCTTCTTGAAGAAATTCTGAGTTCCAAAATTCTGAAATTACTTTTTCTGAGACCAGTTTTGAATCGACCAAACAGTAAAAAAGAATCAACTGCGTTTGTGTAGTTTTTAATTGCAAAATCTGGGGAATTGCGAGCAGAAGAAGCTCCTCCTTCTTACTGTAGTTGGCAATGATCTGATTGCACATGCAATGAACAACAACTACGGTTTTAATTGGTCGCATAATGTCACTTTTCGGAATTCTTGAATTTATAAGTCTTATAAGCAACATCAGGATCGTAGCAATGTATTCTATCGGAAGAGCGTTGATGATGTTAAGTAAAATTGTATTGACCGAAGAATCGTAGTTACAAACGTAAGCCGCGGGTATAAAGCGCTCCATTCCTTGTAGTTCTGTGAATTGCTGGTTCGAACAGATCAAATTTGATTGAAAATACGATCCTAAAATTTTTAGGAGTTGATCTGGGGCCAAATCCATTGAAAACTTGATCAATCCCATCAGCACGTACTTGTTTTCAGTAAGAAATGGTTTAAATTGATGCTGTACTTCCATTAATTCGAAAATAAATTTTCCTATGTAAGCATTGGCTTGAAGCAAGTAAGACTGGTTCCATTTGTCATTATGTTTCATGTCATCACCTTTTATGCTATCTGTTTCGTATAAAAAGAAGCGATTGAAGACATTTTCGAATAAAAAATTCCAAAAGTATGCTAAATTGTAGTTTGTCATGTATAGCATCACTCCAAATAGTCTCTCTACATATAATAATGTCCTAGAATAATCGATATTATCGGAAATGAACATGAAATTCGATAGTATTTGATAACTCTCTGGTCTCTTCATCGATTCATAGAAAAATGGAAGCATTTTACAACAGATAGCAAATGAATCTCTACGGAAATTTGATTCTTCTAAGTCTGTATATAATCTAATGAAATTTAGTAAATGAGTCTGTGTTTCATCATCCATTTCTGGTAATTCGTATTCATGAATTATCTTAACAAAATATTCTAAAAGAAGACTCGATTTTTCTGGCTTAGTAATGATTGTTTTAAAAGAGGATTGCGAATCTATGACTGAAACAAGGTTTTTAAAGCTTTCTTTTGCTGAATCCATATTATTATTGTTGATTGCTTGACTAAGATCAATAAATGCCCTCCCAATCACTTCTCTAGGGAGCATTTCAGAATAAAAAAAATAATTAATCTTAAAAAGTGACGAGTATGATTGATGTTACTTTTATTGATTCCTAAATGTTCATTCAATTCATAATATGAGGTTTATTGAGCCATGTATGGAGAACTCTTGAAGTTCTTAACTATGGTATGTTATTCGCCATTTATTACTTATGATTAGCGATATCATCCTTGAAATTTGTTCAAATTTCATCAATATGAGAGATGCACAATATACGCATGATCTGTCGCTTTCTCATTGCTAGCGAAGGTTACAAAGTTTTCATTTTGAGTCACATATTCTCTAATTTTATTAAATTAATGTATTTATATGTAAAATTCTATTTACCATTCAACATCCATTAATTGTGTGTCAACTCAAATTCCTCAGTCTAATATTGGTTCATTGAATCCTAAAATTCAACAAGGAAAATAAGAACACAGTAATTTAATATCCTGAAACATTTTGAAAGTGTCTGTTTTCTTCTAAACAATTATAATTTACTAAATTTGAAATTTGAATGCAAATTGTAATCCAGATTATTTATTTACTCTCGTTATCATTTTTATCATTATAACTTTTATATCTCCTGTAATATCAGAATGACATCTTCGATCATAATATAATTTCTCAAATTATCAAAAATCACAACATATAAGAATGGACCTCAATATTATCATATAGTAGACTTGCTATCTTTCATTCTTTTTAGCAAGAAATGAGGAAAGTGAATCGAGATAGTATCACCGTGAAGGGAGTATTTAATGCAAATGAACAAGGTGATGTTATGGATGCTTTTCTCACTCATGCTTGCAACGAGATTACAAACATGGGGAAAAATCTTCTTCAAATGGCGATTAATTTTAAATCAATTACAGCAAAACGCGAACTAAGAAACTATACAGAACAATTTATCAAATTATTATCTGAATTTCCGCCAAATAACACTGCTTTTTCGATGCTATTGCAAACATTTTCGTCACTTGCTATCACAGATGCGCCTAAAACAATCAAAACATTAGATAATTTCTTTCCTCAGATATTCGGCATCGACCAAAAGCACGAAAAGAATCAAAAGTCAATACTAAACTTTTATCCTCCACTTTCTCAAGAATTAGATTACGTGGGGTTGTTTGTAGGATACGTTAGTGAAGTAGCTTATACGTATTTACTTCAATCATTACTCGAAAATATCACGTTTATTGATGAGGATGCCGTTACACAAATTCTTTCTCGAATATTTAATATAGCAAATACGCCAGTTGTCACACAATTTCAACAATCAGTCATTTTGATATGTCTCGACAAATACAAAACCGTTATGAAACGTATTACACAGCTAAGTTTTTCAATATTTGCGAACATTTTAACAAAAACATTTCCAACAAAGAAATCTACACCTCAATACACCACATTTTACATAACATCTCTTACAGGTATCTCATTTGCCGATCATAACTACCAAGAAATAAAATCTTGTTTTGATATCATTCCTAAATTGATGACAGCCAATATAAACAACGGTTCTGTTATTGATGCAATATGTCAATCACTTTGTTCCATCATAACTAACATGAAAAACGTCCAAACAGGTCAATTTCTTTCAAGATTAGAAAGAAGAGCCCAAAAATGTCTTGCGGACAAAGTTGCCTGGGCAAGCACACTCAAATTAATCGGTGTAATCCATTATTTGAATCCTTTACCGTTAACTCCGAACTACACGAAATTTCTTGAAAGATTTGTTTTCAAAAGATTGGTAAAACCCCATAAAATCGATGCAGCACTCGATTACATCATTGCCACACTCAATCCCAATGAATGTGGATATAACTGGTCCCCGCAAACATCAGATTACATCAAATTAATTTATCAAAAAGTTTTTTCTGTTTCTTTACGCGGCCACGAACTAAAAGCTGCGACAATCCTTGAATCAATAGCTGCATTGGACTTGCCAACATTCATTAATGAACGTATCCCTGAGTTACTCATTAATTCTGACCAATATTCTGCTGTTGTAATGATTACTTTTCAAAGAATTTTGAATCCTTTGTCACTTTTTCAAGAATTTGCCAAAGTTATTCCAACTAATGCAGCAACAGGAATACACAGACATATACAATTGATTCATGACATACTTCAAGAATACGTAACAAAAAGATTTGCTGATGTTTCGTTCGAACAATCGAATTTTATTTTGAATTTACAGAATATCAATGATATTTTGATGGATATTGACTTACCTAATAACTTGAACAAGACGAAAACAGAGCCCCTATCTAATCTAAGTCTCTACTATCTCTTGAATTGGAGAAAATATTCGCCAATTAATAATTTATCTCAATCCCAAAAAAGTGACATTGATAATGCGACAAAAAAGTGTCAAATCATTATGGAGCAATGGATGAAAACATTTGATACACCGCATAATTCATTTGGTGACTTAATGGAGACAGAGAATTCCCCTTTTCTTGAAGAAATTCCGTTTTCTGAATCGATAGAAATCAATATTTTGCCATTGATTCCAATTTTACTTCATTACAAAACGAAGATAGAAAACATCATGCTTCCTATATTTACTTTGATGATTTCTAGTGATGCTTATATTGCTGCTTTAGCAAATGTCATTTACCAATTGATTTTCTTGACTTTTCCTGGTTCTTCCAATTATTTGATTTCAGAACTATGTTCTTTTATTCAGAGAATAACAAGTGTCAGTGTTTATCCTTTGCATCAACTGATACAAACTTATTATATTTGTTTGGCAATGTGCAAAAACAAAATTGCTGATTTCGATGAGAAAAATTTGCTTGGATTAGGTTTGATTTCTTTTACTTCTCTTTGTTCTCCATTCCCTGAAACACATCTAATTGGTTTCCAATTGATTGATCTCTACAAGATTTTGTATCATTTGATTTCCGATGAAAATTCAAATGAAAAAATCTTTTCAGAATTTTTTGAAGAAAAATCTTCTCAAATTGAATCGAAAATGATCGTAACGATTATTTCTGAATATTCAACATGGTCTGAATCAACATGTCCTGTCCACAGGATGCCAACTATTTCATTGAAGTTGGCTGCGTTGAGTAGATATTCGTTACTCTGGAGATTCGCACTCAATAAAATAACAATTGAAATGATGAATTATCCATTAACTCATTTTCTCTTAATTTTGAGAAAATCTTTCCTCAAATTAGGAAAAGTATTGGATAATATCCAGAACCTGTCCAAATTCGACATTGCATTGATCTCTAACATCTTCACTTTTCTTTTTGCAACTTCATCTCAACCTCCAGATAAAAGTGACATGAAATACAAAAAACTATGGAACAAACAAGCAGAAGAAATCAATGTTTTAGTTGATACTTCCACTAAATCAACGACATATCTTGAAAAAGATGATTTAAAGATATTTTCTTTTGTCTTTACATCATTAAACATTGTTGCTTTAGCGAAAGCAATAACTAGTTTCATGAATACTTTGCAAAGCAAGCAAATTAAACTGCAACACAAAGAATCTACTTTGTCTGTTTTCGCGACAATGCTGAGACATGTATCAATGCAGTCCAATTTCGATGATTACGCTGCTGAAATGCTAGCAACAAAACAAATTGATGAAATTTTGTCAATTTTTGACACTTCACTTCACATCTTTTTAAATATTGAAGGTGTTGAACATTACAGACAATTATTCCACAGTTTGGAACAATTCAGTCATTTCTTGGTGTTTAGAGGCCAATATTTCGGATTTTTGCATCAAAGTAAACTTGAAAAAAGTCATTGTCCTATTCCTCGATGTAGCCAAACAATGAATGTCAATGACAACGAGATCTCTCCGAGATTCAATATACAAGACTTGTTCAATCTTTTATTCAAGTGGTCTTTGATTGACATCGAGAAAAATTCTGATTTGGAAGCCGCAAAAATTTTGGAATCAAATCCTCCGTCAGAAAACCAAATAAACGGTTTTTGTCATGCGGTTAGAGTTTGTCTATCGTTCATGACACCCATCAAGACTATATTTGATTCCAACAAGTTTATTACCGACTCATTTTTGTCGAAATGTGCAATAATCGCGAAGAAAAAACCTGTTTTCCTCAAACATCTTTTATCAAAACAAATGTCACTTTTATTGATTCCTTATACTGAAAAAGCACTTAAAAGTGATTTAGAAACAGGTACATTATTCTTCAATTCGATTACTGCGCAGTTTATACCAACAAATGTCCAAGATTCGATGATTTATTCCCATAATACTTTCATTAAAAACATGTCAACAACAACTCCAGGAAAATTGACACAATTTGACATTGATTTTATCCAATTAATTTACAAAGAGACAGGAACTCTTTTACTTCTTGATCTCTTGTATTTAATGCACAGCGATGTCACTGTTCGTCAAAACGCCATGAGGATGTTAGGACAAGTTTTTCCTGTCATTGGATTAATTCATTATAAAGGTGAATCAGAAAAAGTTTCACATTTTATGACAGTTGTTTCTAAAATGGTGAATACTGTTAGTACTGAAAACAACACATTGAGAATAGAAAATGCTGTTGACATGAGTAAATGCTGTTCTGTTTGTTTCAACTTTGCAACAGAACAATTTCTTTCTCGAGCGTTCCAAAGTCTTCCAAATACTCCTTTGTCGAGAAGATCTTGTTCTAGAGAACAACTCTTGAGTATTATACAGCCTTGGATGACTGGTATTGTCTTTGATCTAAAGAACAAAACAATACTTAAAGAGAGTAATCGATATTTCGTTTACTTTTCACCTTATTCTTTCGTTAATGACTTGATTTCTTGTAATTTACATGTTTCTCCTTACACAAGTTTGTTGCCTCTTTGGCAGAACTTGATTGAAGAAAGTCCAAGTCCTTCAAACAACGCGAAATTCTTGACAATCACTTTGATTGATATAGCAATTTCGCACCAAGAAACAAGGAAGTTAATCATTTTCTTGTTGACTTATATTTATCGTCTCCAGCCACAAACGATAAATATTTTAGTCAATTTGTTGAATTACAGTTCTTGGTATTTTTACAACGTCCAACTCGGAAAATACGAAATTGTTTACGACATGAACAACTTCTTCGAGCAGAATGAGAAGCCAAAGAAATTAAAGAAACACAAGAAATCAAAAGATAGTGAAGATAATGAAAAGAAAAAGAAAAAACATAAAAAAGAAAAAGAAAATTTGGAAAAAATTTCTCAAAAAAGTGACACTTACGACGAAAGTGTTAAATTTGCATTGCAAGCGTTGAAAGAACTAGCCAAAGAAGATATACTACCATTCATTGACGAGTTCAATGTCATTATTTCGTTCTGTTTGACTCATATTCACATGAAAGATGCTTTTGATCTTTTATCACAATTAGCCAGCGGATTAAACGACAGTTTTTCAGCTGGTTCTCCAGAATGTCTCTGGAATCTATGTGAATTGTTAACGAGAATCAATTCCGTGCAGTTCGACGTGTTGAGGTTCGTTCCTTCTGATGATGACACTCCTTTAAGAGCTCTTCAAAAAAGAGTTGTTTCAATTTCGGATTTATTGAATTTGTTCATCAAAATTTACAATTTCATTCCAACAAACAATGACGAGAATCTCCAGAATTTCTTCCTTTTGTGGGGTCTCTCTTGTGGTGATTTACAAACCGCTGCAACCGCTTTAAACCTCTATTCATCGGCTTATACGTTAAACGACGATTATTCCATCAAACAAATAATTGAAAGCATTTCTATCGTCGTAAATTGTTTAGTTTACAGCGATTTATCAGACGAACTTGTTGAACACTTCTCTGATTATATATGCGCTGTTTTCAGGTGTATTTCCGTGACAATTTCGAAGAATCAAAAAGATTTTTCGATACCAATTGAATTGTTTTTGTTACCTTTGGCTGTTTTGGGTTTGGAAGGCGTAACTTTCCAGAAAATTGTTGATGATTCGCTGTCGTTAATCATTGTTCTAATCCAAAATGGTTTGTTCGATAAAAAGAACAAAAATAATTTCAATGATGAAGCGGTTTTGTCACTTTTCCAAGAATGTGATGTTGAATTTGATGATTTCAAGAATTTGACGAAGAAAATACTTGTTAAATCCAAGAATACACAGAAAATCATTGACTTTTTATGTCAAATTCCGAAATTACCCAAAGAATTACTTTCGAAAGATGATGATTATTCTTTGTATGTAATTGCTTTTTCTCCATTTATGTGTTGTTCCATTGAAGATCCTCTTTTGTTTGCGAAACTCTGTGATTATTCATTGTTCTTGGAAGCTGTTCAAAGTATCACGAAGTTGTTGAATCCTGATGATAATCTTTCTAAGATTTTATTGTCATTTTGCAAAGGACAAATAACAAATCCTCAAAAATTCGCAACAAATTTGATCAAAAATCTTAATTGTGAAGATGTTTTGTTCTTGGATGCAGCGGAAATATTCGCGACAACAGTTAAATGGACACCGAATATCTCTATTAACTGTATTTACGATTTATGCGCAAGTATAATGACATTTAAACCAAATGCGAATAATTTTTACGCTTTGTTGAGTTTCACTAATGAAGCGACAATCAACCAATTCTTGGGTGATTTCAGCAGGAAAGTCAACTTTTTGCAGGCAACAACAACATTCTCTGAACAGAACAAGATCCAGATTGTTCAATCAAATGATAATGAAAGAGAAAAGTTCAACATGAGTTGGATAAATTTGTTTAATTATTTGTATGAAAAAGAAAACGAAAATTTGCATCAAATTCTCAAAAACACTAAAGAATTGATTCAAATTCGTTTCGACCATATTGAGAAATATCCACCGATGTTTCCTATCGATAAAGGACTTAAAATCAATGACGTTGTTGAAGAATTATCTCTGATGTGCAAACAGTTACAAGTAAATCCACAAACAAACTGGGCTGTTTCCATTTACTTGAGTCAGGATTTCACTGATGATAAATGCGACATTGACGAAAATCCTCCACTTGATTATTCTATTAATTACGAAGAAATGCTCGAGAGCATCATTGAGAAAATAAATCCTGATATTGAAGAAGAAAATTTGAAAAAAGTTGATGAAGAAAAAGAAGAAATTAAAGCAAAAACATCGGATTTGCCGAAGAACATCGTTACTACATGTGAAAATGAGATCTTTGTGATGCAAAGTAATGCATTCCTCCCACTGCAATCGAAACTAGATGAAATAGTTTCAAAAATTTTACAAAAAAACTAATATAATTTTTTGTTGTTTATTAAAAAAATATTAATATTTCTGTCAATTGCTAATTTTTCACGCATTAAGCTTATTTGGATAGCCATTAGAGTATCTTAAACTACCTTGTTCTAATGGGCAATATAAATACTGTGAAAATTTCGAAGATAATTAAGAGTGAATTTCTTTCAAATTCGAAACATCCAATCAAGATAAACATCTATTACTTCATAAATCCCCTGAATTATACAAAGTTCTAGCTAATGATCATATAGCGTATGAACTTTTGATTCTTCTGAAGCCGGTGACTGTCCTTTGGATCCAAAATCAAATTGAGTTATTATCAATAGATAATAAATATTAGGTATGTTTTCATTTTGAGCATACACTTAATAAAATATGTATATTTTGAAATCATTCAAATATGTAAATTTTGAAATTCAGAATTTTTGAAATATGGAAGCAGTATTCATCAAAGCCAGTAAACATATTGAAATGAATTACATCTGTCATATTATAAGAGAATATCTATTGGGTTTGATTAAAAACGCGATCAAAAATCAATTAAATTGTGTATTTTTATAGAATGAACCTAATTTTACTCTTTTGCTATTGAGGAATTATCAATTTTCTCATATCTGAATAATTTTGAAAAAAACGAAATGTAATCAAATCTTTGATAGTCATTTTGATAAAAACTCTCCAATTTCTGGAAGGATTCAATGTATATGAAGAAAGAAGCAGTCAATCAAATAATTATTTGTCATTCAGAAAACTATAATTATAGTCATTTTTGTCAAATTTTTTAACTCAAATTTTGATTAACTCATAATTGGCCGAACTAATGTGGTACAAATCTAGTGATGAGTGTAAATTACGGGAATATATTTTTGATAAGTGTTTTGAAAAATTTAATCCAAAGAGGAGATGAAATAATGTATGAATTAACACTATTCAAATTTAGAGTGAATCTTTAAATTGGATGATTATTTATTGAATATTTTTTGAATGCAAAAAATCAAAGCCTTTAATTATCAAAAATTCTAAGATAATGATTTAAAATAGACATAATTAAGCTGAATAAATACATATTGCGTCATTAGCCAACTAAAAATATTATAATTGAGAAGATTACATTTTATTAAACATAATTGAATATAAAAACTGGAGCAGAAAAATATAGTCAAAATGGTTTATTTCATATGCATATATAATATCACATTTCAAATGATGAGTTGTGTATTTCCGATTTGAATAACGCACACAAAAATTGAAACAAATATTGATTTTTAAATACTAGCGAAAAATTAATCGGCATGATGTTAATAATATTGCATGTTAATGCCAAAAGCGTAAGATCTATTTTTCCCACAATCTTTTTTCTCTTAATTTTTGATTAATTGCTATGCAAATCTATAGTATAATTAAATTATTGTTAAGCAAAAAATGGGTATTCAATTTCGTCAAGATCAAAAAAAACGCTAGCTAAAAAAATCGAATAATATTTTATATACTATCAACAATACACTGATTTTTCATAAATTAAAGATTTTCGCGACCATTTATTACTGCACATTTTTGAATTGATTTGAAAAATCGTTCTCAAATTGTGAGAGATTTTATAACCGTAGATATTCAAAATTAACTTTAAATGGCAGAGCTCTGTACTCCTAACATCGGCGGTAAGCGCTTTATGTCCTTAACTGCTGGTTTCCCCATCCCTAAGCATAAGTCTGGGGCTCTTCAGCAAATTCTTGGTATGCAATTTTACTTCCCAGATGAAATAGCTCGTGATGATTTCTACTCATTCCCTAAGCCAAAAGAAGAAAATGAAAATCTTAATCTTGTTAGCCGTTCTTTTAATGCATCAGTCACGGCACCTAAATTGACCGAAAGTAGTTCGGATATGATCATTGAACCTCATAATATTGGTTTAATTCCGGCTTCTGAATGGTCTCCAAGGCCTGTGTCTCTTGAAGAAATTAAATCGTCATATTTCACTAGGAGAAATGGAACTTCGCGCTCATTTGACGTTAAGTTATATAATGCCCTTTGTATCACCAAAAGTAATCCCGCAGCGTATAAGTTCATTGGCGTTGCTTGGATTGATGAAACCCACTTTAAGATTGATGAGAAGAAATTCTCTCAATTTTTAGGCACTAAGTCTGATTATATGACCTTGTTTGATCAGCAAGGTCCAATCAGCAAGTACGGTTTTGAACAGATATTCAAAGGAGCAAACCCCGCTTTCACAAGGAATTCTTTATGTGATGATGTTGATGACTGCAAAGTTTGTATATTTAGTGATCCTATGCATCGATTTTCAAGAGACAAGCCATTTACTCATGTTGATATATAAGTTGTTGCGTTATTATATTTAATAAACTTGTTTTTTCCATGCCGTATTACATATCTGCCTATTTTTAAAATTCGAATAAAATAATTGTGAGGGACTGTAGATGTGCAATCTCATGGTTGACAATATGATACAGGCTTTGAAATTCTGCAAAATCGTACTCATACCATGAATATGTATCATCTGTTGAGATCGCAACTGAAATTAACAATCACTCACCAAAAATTATTTTGTGATTGTTAGTTTATTGAGTATTAGTAAATATTATGTATGGCTTAATATAGATATATTTGATTTTTAAAAAATTAATCATTAATAATTCATTTTTAAACTTGGAAAAATGAAATCGATTGATGCACATCACGTTGATCTTTTAAAATTGAATGTTGATAAGAAAATAGACGATGATAATGCATGTGATATGTCTCAATTATTAGATGGCGCTCTCAATTCCTTATTCCAAGCTCCAAATTCAGATAAGAAGCAATATATTCAAGTTCTATGTGAAAACAGATCATCTATAAAGAATTTTCCAGACATTTTTAATTATCCATCTGTTTTTCGACAACTATTCCAATTATCAAATATTCCTGACATAAAAGAAGATGTATTTTCATTGCTTAAGGAATTTGTTTCAAGCTGTAGATGGTGTTCACATGCATTATTCATGTCACATATCGCTGAAAATTCTATCAAAGACGATCCTGATATATTATCTGTTGAATTCGCTCTTAGATGTGCCATATTCTCTGATGAGATCAAAGATGAATTAGTTAAACTGGATTTTCTCTCAATTTGTTTGAAATTTAAAGAAAACCTCAATATTTTGCAACTAATTTTAGAAGTGAATTGCACCGAAGACATTATTAGTTCAATAGATATCGAAGCAATAGTTAAAGAGATTCCAAATACTGCTTCTTTTAATATAATTTCCAAAATCACAGAGAATTCATCTCAATTTTGTCAGGATATATTCCCAATACTTGACGAGTTTATGAATAGTATTACCCCTGAATATTTAACATCAGATTTCATGTCTCCATTTTTAATTTCAATCTACAATGTATTAACAGATTTGGGCTTTAATAGCTTTGATACTGGATTTCATTCAAAGCTTAAAAGATTATGTGTTGATATTGCCGAGAATGGCCTTTTTGAAAGTCGAATTGAAGCAATAAATTTATTAATAAATATTCTTCAAAGATGTAGGTTAGAAATTGTAATAGCATGCTTGGATGCAGATGTTATCGATGTAATTGGGCAGATGTTGCTTGCAAATATTGATCAAGATTTTATAGTCCGTATTTTGATCACTTTTCAGTTACTTCTCACTCGATTTTTGGAGTATGGAAACTATGAGTCCTTAGATATGTTAGCTAGTTTACTGGACAACGATTTTTGTGATGTATTGGAAGAACTCTCTGAAAGCAGAAGTAGTTTGGTTGCTAATAATGCTGAAAGTTTATATGATATGCTTCATGATAAGTTATTTAGAAATGATTAGATATTCTTATTTTGTTTGTTTTATAGATTAGTAATAAATAAAAATAGATAAAATTAAACAAAAGAAATAATAGTTTAGAAACCATAAAGTGTCTTGCCTTGGCGCTTAAGAGCGTAAACGACATCCATAGCTGTAACTGTTTTACGACGAGCGTGTTCTGTGTATGTAACTGAGTCACGGATGACATTCTCAAGGAAGTGACGAAGGACACCACGAACTTCTTCATAGATATCACCGGAGATACGCTTGACACCACCACGACGAGCTAAACGACGGATAGCTGGCTTTGTGATACCCTGAATGTTCTCACGCATAACCTTACGATGGCGCTTAGCACCACCCTTACCGAGACCTTTACCACCTTTGCCTCTGCCGGACATTTGAAATTATGATTTTGCCGCCAATTTTGATAACATGAACAAATTTGTGCTCTCAAAACTATCGGGCTTATTTTGGCAAATATTTTTCTGATAAGTTTTTTGGCGGGTAAATTTAACATCACATTGTTTTCTAATGGCTCGTACAAAGCAGACAGCTAGAAAGTCAACAGGTGGCAAGACCCCACGTAAGTCCCTCGGTGCCAAGGCCGCTCGCAAGTCAACACCAACAATCGACTCCCAGGGCGCAAAGAAGCAACACCGTTTCCGCCCAGGTACAGTCGCTCTTCGTGAAATCCGTAAGTACCAGAAGTCCACAGATCTTCTTATCCGTAAGCTCCCATTCCAGCGTCTCGTCAGAGAAATTGCTTCTGGCTTCCGTGGTGATCTTCGTTTCCAGTCTTCAGCTATTGCTGCCCTTCAGGAAGCATCAGAAGCTTACCTTGTCGGTCTCTTCGAAGATACAAACCTTTGCGCCATCCATGCTAACAGAGTTACAATCATGGAGCGTGATGTTCAACTTGCTCAGCGCATCAGAGGTGAACGTAACTAAGTTTAAATTTTATTTGTTTGTTCACTTTACTTATTCATATATAAATCTCAAAGGTCTTATTTACATAATATTTATGCGTTTTTATTTTTGAAAAAGGAAATTCAATTTATTATGTAACTATGAGCAGTTTAATGATCATTATAGCTTTATAATGGATATATTCATTTCCTTTGGAAAGGATACGTAAAGATCGATCCAAAAGAAGCTTAATATATTGCAAAATCATTGCAATATCAAAAAATTGTAACAAAATTTGTAAATGGAGATTCTTTGAAATGCAGATTAAAATACTTTTTTCTATATTTTATATTTTAGAGTGAATTCATAACAAATGAAATTATAAATAAAGTTTCAATTATATGGTAAACAATTGTATATAAGCGTCTTATTAGTCGGTTGTTGCTGTCGTAGTAGTTGTTGTTGTAGCATCTGTAGAATAGTATTCGGTTGATGTTGAATAAGAATAATATTCTTGTTCCATTTGCTTAATAGTATCAGGATCTGCAATCGGAATGACTGGTTGAACAACTGCTGGTTCGAGCGGTGGAACTTGATCTTTTGTCAATTCTTTTTCTGCTTGCTCTTGCGGTTTCTCTACTTTTGGAGGCTCTTCATCCTTTGTTTCTTCAACTTTTCTCTCTTTAACAGGTTCGGTCTTTTCTACATTATCTGTTTCTTTGCACATGAATTCTCGCAAAAATTGATTCCGTTATGTATCGTTAGCTTTTCAATATTTTCAAATAAATTTTTAACAAGGCATATTGCATGGGATGCAGTAGAGAGTATTGGACCGTAATTTGCTTAATATCCAAAATAGATGACAATTGATTTCTGAATTCGCGTTATTATGCGTAAAGAAACGTCATACGTCTGATCAATCAAACAAAACCTAAATATGCGTTGATTAAACTGAATAAGAATGAATAATCCTCGATCTCTACTGAAAAATTGGTTAATTGTTCTTAATGTAACAAATAAATGTGCAAAAGTGAAATACATGCCTAATGAAAAATTGTTAGTATGAATATTCTTCATCTATTCAAGGATTAATAATTTGATCAGATGAAATTATGATAAAATGTTGATATAACATTCAAAACAATGAAATTATATAATATAAAAGCAATCTATTGATTTCGAATTTCTATATAATTCGTTATTTATTGCGAAAAACTAAAAATATCGATGAAAATTTCCAAAAAAAATTCAATAATTGAAAAATCAATAAGGAAATCTTATCTTTTAGAATGAAAAGAAAATATCTGCTAAAATTTTGGAAAATAAATATTCATAATATTCAAGTGGCACATGAACACAGCAAGAGAAATATGAGTGAATAAATATAAAAGTGACAATTTCGATTTGAGAAACTCCGATCATTGGTTAAATACATATTTATTGATACTTCTTTGGCAAACAGTGTGGATCAGCCCTAACCTCCTAATAGTGCGGGTTATTTCACCGGTTTTGAAACAAGGTGAAACATTTTTTATCGAAATTGATATTAATTTCTTTAGATATGAAAAGTATTGATCTTGGGAAATCTATAGAATGAATCATATATTTAAAAATTTTCAGATGAATTCATACAATAAGAAAAAAAAAACTTATCGTCAAATCCACGCAATTTTAAATAATTCTAATGTCTATCATTTTCAGAGATGAAAAGTTTTCGCTGTAGATCAATTTTTTGAATCAAATTCTGAAGAACTTTTTGAATTATTTAAAACTCAAACTTTTAATATTATTTCTCAAATTAGCGGTATTTTTAATTTTATCAAAGTTCATTTTGAGATGAATTTAAAACCTGTTAAATTTACTCGTATTATTTCATGTTACATCCGTATGTGAAAATATCATCACTATCAATGAGTTTAATTGAAATCAAAACAACAGAATAAAGAAAAAAAATTATTTTCAAATGTCGAAAGTCTTGATCAACGGATTTCTGAACAAGAAAGGCAGCAAGTTTGGCTTCTGGCACAAGCGCTATGTCGTCGCTATTGGAAGTCAAATTATCATTTCTAAATCGCAAACAGATAAGCCTGAGAGATATATTAATATGAATGGCGATGTTACAATAGAATCACAATCTGATGTTTCACCACCAAGATTTACTCTTACACCAAAGGGCGAAAAACCAATTACACTCGCAACAAATACAGTGGAAGAATTAAATGATTGGCTCAATCAAATGAGATCAATGACCTTCATGACTTCGGGAATAACTATGGATGATTTCGACGTTATTTCAGTTTTAGGAAGAGGATTCTATGGAAAGGTCATGCTTTGCCATAAAAAGAATACAAACGACATATTTGCAATTAAAACCGTCCATAAAAATAGGCTCGTTTCAGCCAAGAAGGTACACACAATATTTACCGAGCGTAATGTTCTCATGAAGGCTCAACATCCATTTATCGTCTCCCTTAAATTTGCTTTTCAGACAGACACTAAGGTTTACTTAGGTCTTGAATATGCACCAGGTGGTGAGCTTTTCTATCACCTCCAGAAGTTCGGATCATTCCCAATTGATGATGTTCGAATTTATATTGCAGAAATGGCTTTAGCTCTCGACTTCTTACACAAGCATGGTGTAATTTATCGTGATATCAAGCCAGAAAATATTCTGCTCGATGCCCAAGGCCACGTTAAGCTCACAGATTTCGGCTTAGCCAAGGACCTTACAGATGAATCAAGCACAACAACATTCTGTGGCACATTCGAATACATGGCTCCAGAAGTCGTTGCAAGAAGCAGTTACGGTCCAGCTATTGACTGGTGGGCTCTTGGTATTCTTACTTACGAATTACTCAACGGACATTCCCCATTCCAATCAGACAATCGCGCTCTTCTTTTCATGTCCATTCGTACTCAACCACCGAAATTCCCAGCAAGAACAGATCGCAATACAATCGACTTCATCAGTAACCTTCTCAATAAGGACCCAGAATTGAGATACGGAATGGATCAGATCCGTACCCATCCATTCTTCAACGGAATGAACTTCGATGATGTTCTTGAAAAGAAATACAAGCCATCATTCGTCCCAACAATTCCAAACGATGTCGCTGCACTTAACTTCGACTCTGAATTTACTTGCGAGCCTGCTCAGGACTCAATTGCTACTCCTGTTGGACAAGGAAACGAGTTCAACGGATTCTCATTTGTTGCTCCTGGTGAGGGTCAATAATTAATTACGATTACAAAAAATAAAACTGTTTTATCCCTTAATTTTTTTATTTCTTGATATAATTTTTTTTTAAACCAACCCAAAAACCATCACTTTTCTTAATCCCTTTTAATTATACTATAGAATTCTATATTAGTTCTCATATAAATTTATGAAATTTGAAAAAAATATTTGCAAAATATTATTTGATCGAAAAAAGCTAAGAATAAGCAAAATTATAACAAGTTTATATACAAATGCTATTATCCATAGTCATCGGAGAACAAGAAAAATGAAAATAAAAAATAATTTTTGTAATTGGAAAAGGTGACCAAACTATTTTTTGAAAGTCCGCCATAACTTTAATGGTACTATTTCAGCGTGTACAATGAATACAAAAATTCTAAGAGTGCCACATAAAATAGTACTTTAGACTTGAGTTAATGCTACCAAGCAAATGTTAAAAAGATGACTTTAGTGTTTTGATAATCAAAGATTAAAATCATTATTGTCTAAATCAATAATCATAACGACAGAAGTTAATGTTTTTTCATCAGTGCTTTAAATCCACTTTTAAAAGTATACCTCAAAAATCAAAATATCAAAAAAAATTGGCCGATAGGTTTGGCTTTAATTTTTGTCTGCTTTTATGATTTGATATGGATTTATAATTTTAAAAGTTGAGCCAAATTCACCAATAGATTTTTGAGATTTGCAAATACTCAATAATTTTCAGCGTGTTATCTTTTATTAAAAGAACTATTTGGTTTCAGTATCATATAAATTGATATTTACTTTCTATTTGAACCTTCATTTAGCTAATGATTTAATAATACAGATTTCATCTAGTCCTTATAAGAGAATTTTGAATTTGTTATAATAAAAAAACAAACAGATATAGCTTACACTTCTATAATAAAGATACCTTTTATAGAAATCAGTATGAAATGTGTTTTGGCTTATTGGAAGCATATCAGACATAATCGCCATAATCAAAAAATCTATATACCCAATAAGTAATAAATTTGTCGATATAGATTTTCCATAAAATTAGTTTTTAGTCTGATCTTAAAATAAATTTAATTTTTTATAAAAAAAATCACATTTAAAAGTACCTTTTTAGTAGCTCGAAATCCTGTTGGTGGATTTCGGGCGTACTTCAAAATTAGCTTTTCTTCTACATATGCAAGCTATATTTTAAATATGGGGCAAATCGGATCGGCGAAAGGAGTTTAGTTACCTTTTAATTGGAAAGGGGTTAAGAGTATAAATCTCAAGAAATCAAATTAAGAGAGATACAAACCTTTTCAGATTCAATTAACTCTGAGGGAACGCTCATAATACCTGAATCTTCAAATTCAAAGGTAACAATCAGATCTGTAATAGCGAATATTGTAGTTTTCAAGCCTTTTTGACCACGGGTCTTGAGGAAGCATTTTGTTCCTGGTCTCAAAATCGTACCTTTATAATAAATGCCGTAATCAGCCACTATAATAGTATCCTTAAGATCCATTTCATTTTCTGCTATGTGGAGTAGATTATCAAGTGAATCTTTGATTGCATCTGGATTTGCTTTTTTCTCCTTACGTTTTCCAACCTGTTTAGGAGGGGTGTGCATTTTCAATTTAAGTGCTTTGAATTCTTCATCATCTGATGGATTGGTCTGAACAAATGTTTTAATATCTTCATTGTTGGAAAAGTACCTAAACTCATCCATAATTTTGGTTTCCTGATCAGCGTAAAACTTTTTCATGGTATTTTCCTTTCGTTTTTCGATAATACTCAATTGTTTTTGCAAAATTCTATCTTCGAGATAATTTTGCTCTTTGAACCATCTATTGACGGCATCTACTTTTTGCTTATGCATCTCTTTTAAAATTTGCTTTTGAAGTCCAAAGTTTGGTTCGATTTCCATGTAAAAATTCCTTTGAGCTTTGAAAAATTCTAAAAAAAAAATATTTGGATGGAAGTTCATTTTTAATCATTTGACTATATAATGATAGTTGAACTATGGCTTATTCAAAACCCTTAAATTCATTGTATGAAATTTGATTTTTGATCTTTCCAAGAAATATCATCTGCAACAATAGCACTTTGCTACAAACCAATATATTTGGTCATGACAGTGCATAATAATATTTCATAGCTAATGTTCCTTCTTACGAATTTTCATAATTTCAATTTTGAAATTGAATCAAAAAGCTCAATAAGCTGAGAAATATTAATATATGGCATCTAGACATAATAATTCATTATCAAAAACAATGGTTTTATTTTCATAAGTTTACAAGCTTTGTGCGGTTTTGGCCTTTCTTTTTCATCCTATGTCTGCAGAAGCATCTACAAACCAGGTCATCGAAGCTGGTCTCCACCAAATCAATCTTTCCGGCACAGTCGCTAAGGGCATCAAGTGCACAATCAAGGCTATCCTTAAGGGCAAGGCTCAGCTCGTTCTCCTCGCTGATGATACAGAAAACAAGGATTACAAGAACCTCGTTGCAGGCCTCTGCAAGAAGCACAACGTCAAGCTCCAGGCTGTTGAGAAGAAGGAACTCCTCGGCAGAGCTCTTGGTCTCACACATCTTAAGGCTGACGGCTCCGTCCGCCGCCAGATGAACTGCGGTGCTTGCGCTATCATTGGCTACGGCAAGGTCGAAACAGAAGAACTTAACGCTTTCCGCGCTGCTTTTGACCCAGCTCAGTAAATTTCTTGCATAAATTGATATACAATATATTTTATACTATAATGATTAGTTTGTTTACTTTTTTTGTACATTTATTTTTGACCATTATTAGAAAAATCAAAATATCATATTTCGAATTCTACAATACTTCATTAAATACATACATGGTCTTTGAGGTTTTATATGAGTGATTCGTTGCCATAACAGATACATGAAATTTAAAATAACAAAATATATTTTGATCAACGTACAGTGTTCAGAAGAATTAGCATCCCTTCTATCTACATCGAGTATGCCTATTCAAAAACTCGCTATTTTATTTCATTATTTTTGGATGGAAAAAGAAATCGATTTCTCAAAGAACAGTGGTTCAATATTTTTAAAAAACTTAATAGAGCATTTTGGATACTCAGCTGAAGAGACAACAGAACAGGTTCAAAACCCACCTTGTGAGCCCCAAGAATTTCAAGATTTATTGCAACAAGGGGCAGAACTATTAATGAACAATGATATCCAAGCATTTATTAACTGCTTATTAGAGATATCAAGAATATTAGAAGTATATCCAGAATATACCGATTTTCTCAATTATTCTTATCTTGGTTTTCGACTAAGCATGTTAGGAAATCCAAATGAAAGTTCACCTAAGATAATTTTGCTAATTTCAGATCTATTAACAAATTTCACTGCAAATGATAGAGATTATTCAACTCGATTGATCCAAACAAATGAACTTATGCAAAAAGATTCTGATCCAGGATTTTTCGCTTCACACTTATCTATTCTTGCTAACCAGAATGTAACATATATCTATGCAATTCGAGTGATTCCAGTGCTTTATAATATTGCTTCAGATTGGGATGTTAATAATATATGCAAAATAGAAGACTTATCAAAGTTGTTTGCAAAAATAGAAAATGATAACGAATTGTCGTTCGTTTATTCATTTTTCTTCATTAATGTTTTCAGAGCTTCAAAAATAACTGACCAATCAATAGCAAATATGCTCAAAAAGTACTCAATTAACTATATTCTTCATGATAATGAAATATCTATCAACATTGCTTGGTGTTTGTATTATTTTTGCGTAAATTCAGAATTACTTTTAATAGTTGATGAAGAATTCATGTCACTCATAGAAAATATGCTCAACTCAGAAAATGAATCATTTCAACATATTGCAATTTCAATTCTTTCCATTATTCCAATATATACAGATGTAAAGGATGATCAACACATAAAATCTAACATTATGCAATTACTTAATACATTTGACCTGCAACCTTTATTCCAGTTCGCACAATCTTTGGATCAAACTTACGCTGCAGCTTCAATCTCAGCAATCACGAACTTATCTATATTTTCAGAGACATTATTCATGAATGTAATAAATTCTAACTTCTTTGACCTCATTCTGAACTTATTAGCAGATTCACCATTATTAGTAAAAAATTATTCAGTTTGTTTCTTCGGATTCGCAATATCGCATAATAGCAAGCTTTGCGATGACTTCATTACAGAAGATAACCTCGATTTACTGATAGATTTATGCGAAATTGAATCAATTGCAGTAAATCTTCTTCAATCGTTAGATATCATTATGACAAGTCATCCAGATGTGATTCCATTTTTCATTGATAATAATATTCTCGAAAAATACGAATCCATTGAGCTCGATCCTGAAAGTCAAGAGTTTTTGTTGCTTCAAAGAATACGCGAACTCATTGATACAAACACTAATGAAGAAAAATGAAATTTCATTTCATTGAGTACTAGAAAAAGCTCAAAAATTAGCCGATGATGGAATGAACTTTCTATAAGTTTACCTTATAATATTGTTTGTTATTAATCATTAAAACATAAATATATTGACATTTTTAGAAATTTTACAATATATATTCGTATTCACGGAACTAGATGAGGGACAGAAAAGAAATATATTTCAGAATTTTTGATAATGGCGTTGTTTAGTGATTAATGATAGAGAATAAAGTAATTTAAACTGTATTGACATTTGATGCAATCGGAATCGATATCTTGAATTTTTTGATAAGATATTTCAATTATCGAAAAAATGTTAAGAGTAATTGCTTTTTAGTGTTGATAATACAAACAGGTAGAATGTCAAGCTTTACATAATATGACTAGAACATACTAAATTGGCTTTTTAATTAGATTTGCCAATGGAAATGCAGATGAATTCATTCACGCATCATTTGGAATAAAGAAATAAGCTTTATGGAAAATGCCTATTGTACTTTAGCATTTTAGAAGTATAAACTATCAAATAAATTTTGTTGCCTTTTAAATGTCACCTTTTTGAATACTTAATAAATTCTGATGAATATTAATTTAGATCTATCACTATATCATTATTGCATTAATTATAAATTGTAAACATCTCAATAAAAAATATACATTAGTATTACTTGACTACCAACAACGAAACATTTTTCAACAACTATTTTTTTGGGTTAATTTATTTCTTTGAAAATGTGATTCACAATTTATTCGATAAATTGAATTCAATTTTTTTGAGAGTAATTTTTGAAAGATTGTCTCTAAAGTCTTGATATATGCAATATTTAACATATACTTCAATCTATTAAAAATTGACAGAGTTATAGTTGTAAGAATAGTTTCACCAGAATGCTAGAGCAATTTATGAGACAGTTCTATGAAATGGGATTTGAGACCAGATACAGAGCTCAGCTTCCATTCTGGCTGAAATGGCTAAGAGAAATCATACGCTTCATGCAATACGTGGTTCTATCCATATATTTTTGTAAATTGTCAAACATGGTTGGTAGGCAATCATCACTAATAAGCGTTTTGGACAATGCTCTTCTTCTTAATTCCTGGATGTATTATCAAGTACAAGGATACCATTTCGCTATGGTTCTTATTGTTAACCAGATTATTATATTTTCAATTTTTACCAAGATATCACGTAATATCAAAAACGGAAAGCACGTTTCGAAAAATATTCTTTTTCTTTACATGTTAATGTATGACTTTTTTACCCCTCTTTATCAAATCGACATTTTCTTCAGATTTAACCAACAATTACATGTTACAATTCTGAATTTCACCTTTAACAATTTCGTTACGTTATTGATTCACACTTCAGGTTTATTTTTCACATCATTTCTTGAATTCTTCGTATGTACATTTTGGAAACCTAAAGTATTTGTGGTCTTTTCCATCCTAGACAAACATTCATGCGCTACATATTATTATTTCTACTGGGTGAAGTGTTTAATGATTTCTGTTCATATTCTTCTTGTAGAATACAATCACTTTTTACTTGAAATATTTATTTTCTCAATTTACCCATTAATAGTATTTGTTGCAGTTTTCCATAGAATGATAAGAGGAGTACATGCAAGTTACATCGGAGCGATAATGGAAGACAGCCCGATATTTGCATCACCATTTGTCCTATTCTGTCATTTACATTTCGGAGGAATTGTGAATCCTTTACTTGTTGCATTTGTTTGCATTTTCTTTTATACAATTGTTATAGTTTATTACAAGAAATACTTACAAAAGTATTCTTATGCGATTTTATCCGAAACGAAAAATGTTTCTGTCTTTTTTCCAGTTTCAAAGTCATTGCTTATCCGCAATGCTGCAGAATTTTTTGCTTACACTGAGGGATTCGACAAATTCATGTTTATGAGGATTAATGGAGATCCAGAAGAAACAATTGAAGTTGTTCGCTACTTATCTCTGTTTAAATATAACCATACTCGTATACTACAGATACTAAGCAAGTATACAAGCAATGGAGCCTATTACGACTTCCAATTTTATTTGTATCGGACACATGTTGAATACCAGAACATAGATGCCCCTAAAGTATATACAGATATATTGGATAATATACAAAGGAGGTTCCTAGTATCGAATTTCTTGTATTGGCAGTGCAGATGTTCAAATCAATGGATAAAAGCACATTATTATGCCACAGTTTCATCAATTAACCACATAGAATTGCGGAACTATATCAATTTCCTTGTTTTCATCTTCAGATATGATTCTCATATTTATCAATCTTTTGCGGAGTTTTCTTTAGTTGCATTAGGAGATCCAGTTCGATCAGTGAAATACAGACGATATGCAGCAACGCTAAAAGAAAATCCTTCAGGTATTGTTGACAATTTAATCAAAATTCTTTCTCAGAATTATCCATTGTCAACACAAAAATACAACCATGGAAACAACGAGCGACAAAGTGATATCACACCTGAAAGCTCACAGGCATCAATTGAAGCTCCTCCCGTCCCTCAAATGCTTAGATTTCATTTTGACGATAATGTCATTTTCCGTAACGATAAAAGTGACAATTCTCCTATGGCCATGTTTGTACAAAAGTGTAATTCATTCACATCGTATCGATCTGTGTTCTACATTATCTGCATTTTCATTATTTGTTCTATGTATTTCAAATACATCGATGTTGAATCGACAAAACGAAATAACATGATTTCTGAGATAAGATTAGTTCTTAAGAACACAATAGAACAGGCAACAGTCTTATCATCAAGTTTGTTGTATCAATATTTGTATCATTTAATGGCAGACCAAAAGAACCTCAATTTTTCAAAGGATTGTTGTGATACGATAATTAGTCACTTTTACGATGAATTACAAATCTTTCCTTTGACAATTGGTGAAGATTATTCTTTCCTAATGAAGTCATTAGGATATTTGAGTGTCAGACTATCAGAAGAATCAAAAATCAATTGTCAAAGTCTTTCGAATTCATTGAGTTTCATAACAACAAATGTTTATGACATGAAACTGAATTATGATGATTTGAAAAACAGAGTTTCTCTTTTGTTCACTCAACAAAAGAAAATTACTGATATAAAGAAGTTCGAAAAGATGACACAAATCGGTATTTTATTAGGTACATTAATTGTTACAGTCATGACACATTTCTATTTAAGAATAAATTTAATAGAAACGCCTCCTTCTGCTTTACAATTCCTTGCAAGTAAAGAAAGGTTGTGTCTTCTTCTTTTCCAGAAATCTTTGGAGTCATGGGATCTTTTCAAGATTTTGTTCCACTCTAAATCCAAAATGAAAGCCAAATCAAAGAAAAGAAGGACAATTAAAAGAGAAGATGCAGATATAATTGATACAAGACTTTTACAAAGCCAACATGTCAATCTTTCTGATTCAAAATTGACTGTTTCTTTTATTGGTTCTGATCATTATTTGCAACCAAGTAATTTCGCGTTGATGTCGCCTTACGTTGAATTAAACAAGTCCACGTTGTCTGATTCGATTTTGGCTGTTCCTAATGAAGAAGAAGATGAAAGTTCGACAACAGATGATTTCATTCCAGATAACGAACAAAAATTTGAAGTAATTACAAAAACCATTGAAAAAACAAAAAGTGACTTTCCAAATTATTGGCGTGTTTTTGGAATTATCCATGTCTTGCCATGGATAACTATTTCTTTTGTTGTATCAAGCTCAACGGAAGTTATCGAATACCAACATTTGCTTGCTACAAATTACATCAACAAAATCATAGAAAATGTTACTTCTTTTTATAGTATACAAGTATTTAATGAAAACTATTCTTTCCAAGGTTTAACTGATCGCCAGTATCACTATATTCTTCAGAACTTGTCACATCATTGTAGAATGCTAATGCCTGATGTACAATTAATGGAAACAGTTAATTTTTATAATAATAATGGTTATTTGTCATTACTTGTTTATTGTAATTTTACTGTTTTTCTTTCTATTCTTTGTATTTATTATCTTGAGATTGATATGAATAATGGTTATGCATCTCTCTTCCATTTCCCAAGAGGATACATCGAAGATATCACGAAGAAACCAGAAGAACCACCAGAAGAGAAACTTCCAAGTTCTGTTTTGCAAATAACTGTTCATAAAACAAATGGAATTATTACAACAGTTTCCGATTCTTGCGAAGAAATTTTGATGTGTTCTCCAATAGATTTAATCGGTTTGAAATATGATGATATCTTTACGAAAGATGAGAAAGGAAATCGTGTTTATTCTCTTAAAAGAAAACCAAAGACTTTCATTGAAAGTAAGATAGTTTTAGGAAAAATAATTAGAGTTGCTTTGTTTGACAATAACGGATCAAATAATTTAACAACAATGACAAACACGCTAAGCACGAAATTACCACAGAAAATTGCTAAAGTTTTCCTTGAAAACAGTTTGTCGAAGTTGCAAATTAAGCAATGTTCGATGATGATTATTAAGTTCAATACAATTGAATACAATCAAAGTGTTGAACAAATTTTTTTGAATCTTAATAACTTGATACAGATTTATTCAAGTGTTTTGCTGCTGAGAATCGAAGGAAGTTTGATTTATTTGCTAATTAAGACATCAAATAAATCAGTTCCTTTCTTGTTCATAAGAGATCTCTTGAACAATGAAAAGAATGTCGCTTACGGAAAGAAAGAAAAAACAGTAAATTTGATTGATTCGATTGTTCTCATGAAAACTACTGTTTCTGCCGACATTTTCATTAAAGGAGAGCCTTACATTTAGTTCCAGTACAAGGAAATGTACAGCCACTTACAACTTAGTAAGCAATGCCCTGCTGGATCAATAATGTTCGTCAATAACAAAAATAATAATCTGACTTTGCTGAAGTTTACAGATATTGACAAATTTATTGACGAATTACCTTAATCTATTATAATGTTTTGTTTATATATATATTTTTTTTGTGTATTTTATAAAGTTTATATTTCGATATTTTTTTTATTTCAGTTTTTATATAAAAAGATCATCATAGATATTAAATCCATACATGTGCTGTTAATTGTATCTGATATTTACAGCATAATCTCAATTGAATGGAAAAAATCCCTCAAACTATTGATGATTGTCTGGAAATTCATTCAATTATGCATTCGCTCAAAGGGGTAAGATCAAAAAGATATAATTCATTATAGATAAACATGATTTTATTGGAAATGATATTATTTATCTTAGTCAATTTAGCCCAAGAAGCCGAATTATAAACAAAGCTTGTATAACATTTTGATTGGTGAGTTAAAGTCACATAAACGAGAAGATAATTTTGTAAAGTCCACCTGAACCAACGTATTTTACCCCCTGAATAAAATAAAAACTGTTAATTTACACGAAATGAGCAATGCATCAAAAGATGTGAAAATTCTCCGAATTGTTATTTCATCTAACATCAGTGGAACCGTGCTTGCAGAAAAATCAATTGATTGGAAGTATGTAACAGAACACGTAACAATTGCAAAATTATGCCAAGTTCTCTTACAACTTGCAACAGAATTCGATGACGGTACAGTTCAATTCGCTTGTTTTGAGCCAACAGATTATGATTCCGCAGCTTTGGCCTCTAAAAATTCATTATCAAATTCAGAAACGAAATACTTGAACGTTGGATTGCTTTTACAAGATGATATTATCACAGCGGTATTTTATAAAATTCAAGCAGAAAAACGCATTCCAGAACACGCAGATTACGTTACACAGATTTCTAAAAGAATACATTCAGCATTTGCTGCTAAACACGTTGAATTACATAGAAGCCTCCGTAGTACCCTTGAAAAAATCGTTCAAGAAAAAGCAACAATGCCACCAGATGCAGCAACACAATTTGCTTCATTTTCTGAAGAAATTCCGGCTCTTCTTCACTAATATTTTCCATGTTGCCTGATTACTTTAATAATAAGTGTTTCATAATTTCAATATGAACAGCCAATTTTCGGCTGTTTATTTATTATATTGTAATTTGTATTTCTACTATACTTGTTTAAAAAGGTTATTATGTTTATTGTTTTTAAAGAATTTCAATGTTCAAAATTAATTTTATCAAATTTTCATCACACCATCATTTGTTACCAAGTACTTACTCTCTCCTTTAAACAGATGATTTCATTTTGCTTTATTAAAACTTGATATCTTGAATTAAATTATTTTGATAATATATCAAGTTCAACATCAATCATCTTATACACAGAAGCCTATAAAATATGAAGTTAAGTTTAAATGAAACAGAACAAATATATTTATTCAAACAGGAAAGGAATAAAAATTAAAAAATCGAAATAGGAAATGTTATCTATGAAAGTTAATAAGTGTAACCTAGAGGTAATAGTTATAGGTCAAATTTTCTCTTATTGTGGTTTCAAACGGCGATATTCTTCTTCTACTTGTTGATTTTCAACTGTTAGGACTTTAATTTCTTCTTGCAATTCTTCTATTTCTTGTTGTATTTTCTCTCTCTGTGATTCTAAGTTATGATATTTATCAACTTCCTTTTGATAAACGCGAACAAATTCTTTATATTCTTGTTGTAATTGATTTATAGATTTGACTTTCAATTGACGCCTACGTTTTTTGGTTTCTTTATCTTGTTGTTCGCCTTCAACAACTGCAATTGGAGGTGAAAAAAATAAATTCTTTTGCATATTCCTGCTGTTCTCTATATCATGTTTGAAAGGGAAATCCCATCGATCGCAGCTTCTTTTAGTAACTTTGGAGGGAAATTTAGACATTACAAAATTTTGTCACTTTTTTGAAATTCTTTTACACCGACTTAAAATACTAAAATAGGTTTATTTCTAGAAAATTCATGGTATTTGCAGCAACACTCATCATTTAGTTTAAGGGTTTTGTTTTGCGAAAAAAACGTACAATACGCAATTTCGCTAAAAAACATTTAGCTAGCAATTTCGACCTTTGACTCCACTCAAGACGTCACTTTTTTAATTTTGCGGTATCATATTTTTGGAAAATCTTTATGAATATTATATAAAAAGTCTCTTTAATATCTATATTTCATATTTTTATCGATTTTTAAAGTTTTTGCGAAAAGTATTCAATTATTTTTGCTATTTGGTCGGGTAAATGTCAGATTTGCGACATTTTCTGATATGATATTCAGGTTCTACGTTGATAATAATGCTTATAGAACCCTTTTGCTATTGTGTCAAAATTGCGAAACCGATAGCAAAAATATCTCGCAATATCAAAATTGAGATATTGAGTGAATTATGCATTATAGAGATTAAAAATCTGATTTGTGAAAACATCTCATCAGTTTCTAGCTAATTCAAAAATCTTTACTATCTTATTCGATTAAAATGAAAAGGGAATAGTTTCATTATGCTTTAAATGACAGCCTTATAATATAATCATAGTTTTCGCTCAATATGCAGCATTTTTTTTTCGAAATCTATGGTCAATATCCTAAATACTGATTGCTTTGCATTCATATCTCTTACATTTTCTATACCCACATCACTATTCATTGCTATTCCTATCTTTTTCATTTTTGTTTGTTTCTCATAATTTCTCAAAAAACATGATAACTTGATATTTGTAAATATCATACTTTATAACGTAAATAAGAACTTGACCTATTAAGAAAAGCAGTAATGAAAAGAAAATCTGAAATTCATAAAAATTACAAGTTTCTGATGACAATTAGCTTAATTAAACCAGGTACAAGATTATATAATTGTATTTTCTATCCAATTATCCATATAATATCTTATCCAGAAAAAATAACTTGATCAATACCAAATGATTTTTTAACTAGTAAATAAAGTATTTTCTTTACACACACATTGTATATCATAGTTTTTTTTTGGTTTCGCAAAACATCCAAAAACAAATATGCTATAAAAGTGACAATTTTAGCAAAACGAAACCCTTATTTAGTTTAATGAACATAGAAACGTGGAAATTTGAAATTTAATTCTTTAAATTAGCCAGCATAACATATAAAATGTAAATTAGCTCAGGTATGACATAATGGTTCTTATCATTTCTTTGAATAATTAATAATTATTAAAAAGATTATAAACAAATTTTTATTAATTTCATGGAAAATTCATGGAGTTTGAGTCAGTTCGTCAAATACTTCTGCAATTTGAGAGATCTTAACTCCATAATCAGGGTTTGATGCTAAATCGGAGTCTAAAAGCATTTCTATAACATCATTATCAGAAATGATAGCTACTAACTCATCAGTGATCTGAGTTCTATATGTTCCAGTTATCGTACAAAGAATATCAACAAATTTCATCTGGAAATTTTGATCAGACATTTCATAAAGAGCTGCACCAGCATCTATGATATCAGGATGCTCAAACATCATACCATATATATCAGAACTAAGTTGCGAATCAGCTAGGTTGAAAATGATACTAATTACAATAGATTTTTCATTATTTGAATAATTTTCAAGGATATCAGCAACAAAAGGATGGAATTCATTAACACCATCAAACCAATTATAGAATTCAGTTGGTATTAACCTTGAAATCTCAGCAAAGAACTTTAATACGACATTTCTTTCCTTATTTGTAAATGTTTCCTTAAGGAAAAGCCTTTTAACCTCGGCACATGGTACATTTAATGCTAGTTTGGCAATTTCACTATCATTTGTTATGAAAATACATAAAGCAAGGAATCGAATTATGGAAATTTTGATGTCATCATAGAGTTCTTCGCCATTTTTGTTAAAGAACATAATAGATTGATCGTAAATGAAAGAGAATGCTCCAATATCAGTGAAAACACTAAATAAATTGCTGGATTTCAAAAGAATTGTTGTTGAAAACTTGAGAATCCAATGAAAACGTTGTTTTGATTCATTATCTTTAGGGATACATAATCTGAACGGTAATATATTAAGAATTGTCTCATAATCAACAGTTTTTGCGTATTTCACAACGTAATACAAAAAATCAAGAGCCCAGTTGATTCCCATCTTATCTTGCATTGCTTCTGTAGTTGGCTGAAGTAATTCCACGATCCTGTCTAAGCCATCATCGATTTTAGAGTAAATTGGAATGTAAATGAATAATAATGTTGCAAAATTGTATCCATCTTGATCTTTGCAACCGATAAATAGTTCGGGTAACATTTCCATTAAGTTGGACTTCGAAATATATTCAGCTAATGGTTTGAAATTGGATAATCGAATAATAATTTTTAATAAAATCGAGATATTTGAAGGTATCTTGGAAGATCCGATTATATCTATTAGATCTGTAAACATATTCTCTGATAAAACATCAACAAGTGAGCCGAGATTTACTTTTTCTTTACTGACTTGAGGCAAAATTTCATTAAATGTCTGTAGAAGATCAAAAAGAGTGGAGTTTAGAGAGTTTCCATCTCTATCATTGACATATTGGTTAATTTCTTGAAGTTTTGCGTTTAAATAATCAGGAAATCCTGCAAGAGATGAATCTTCAAAGAGAACATCAGGCTCATATTGAATTAACTGCGGTGCTTTTGCAAATGTCCAGTTGCCTTCAATCTCAAAGTTGGATAGTTCTGTCTTGTAATCAATCATTTGACAGAAAATTTTATCTGACTTTTTATACATTCAATTTTTTTTTCTGAAGATAAATGGTAGAAAAAAATTGACACTTTACAAATTTTAAATAAGATAGAATGAATATTGGAAATCCTGGTACGCTTCCAGCACATCTAAGTTCTTTAGGCTATACCTATTATAATATTTTAGCGTATCTAAAATATGATGCAATTTAAAATTTCAAAATCAATTTTGTGCAATTCTCATAATTCAGATAAATCAATCCGTTTGAATGATCAAGAGAAAATAAATGACATCTCCACGAAGCAAACTTATGCATTTCATTCCGAATCATTCAGAATTCATAAATTTGGATGCGTATTTCGAACATTTTACTTTTACACTTGCACTTTCTCATTGATTCATGGTCTTTCTCAGACAATGGAAATATTTTCGAGAATGTCACTTTTTGTAAAAATCATTTTCGTAATTTTTTCATGTCAGAAGCACCAAATCCACACTTCTTTTCTCGCTCGGTCGAAGACTTTGGTGGGAAAATATCTTTTATTATCACTGATTTAATTGAAGAGTTGCAACATAGAAATGCCAAGTCGAATTCCGGTATTTTCAGATTAAATGGTGGCAACAAGAAACAAACAGAAATTTCGCAGTTACTTGACAATGGAAGAATTAAAGAATACAATCAAATGTGGGATAATAACACAGTTGCTTGCACACTTAAAAAGCATTTTCGTGATATGACAGAAAGGGGTGATCCTCTGTTTCCGAATATTGTATTCGATAAACTCTCCCCTCTTATAGCATCTAATAAGATAGATAATGACCAATTCATTGCAGAAACTCAAAAGGTCTTTGCAACCTTTAGCCCACCAAGATATTACTCAATTGTTCATTTTATCAAGTACTTAGTAGAAGTTGCAGACGAATCAGAATCAAACAAGATGACCCCATCTAATCTTGCAATTTGTATTTCGCCAAACATTTTCACAACACCTAACCTTAATAACAAGGAAATATTAGCTCTTAATGACTCCCAGAATAAAATTTTTGCCAAGATGATTGAACTTGGCCATCAACTCTTTGATTCCGTAAAAGTTCCAAAAGAATTAATCTTAGAGGATAATGAAATACCAAAGCTTTTAGCTAGAACAATGGATTCCAAAGAAAGTAAATCTTTTCTTGATTGGCGCCAGATGCGTAGGAAATCTTTAATCCCATTTGTTCCTATAGATCTTGCTACAGTCCCTGGCTTCGAAATCCCATCTACTCCATATCAACCAAAGAAATAAATATTTATTACTTTTTTTTTAATTCATTTTGAATTGAGTTATATATTTTTGCTCATTTTAACTACTTTTCTTTAAATAACCAAGAACATAATTCATAAATTCTTTGAGAAATCTCGAAATTACTAATGTACCTTTTTTTGAAAGCTTTTAAAATCAAATATTGATCAAATAACAGTTAATAATGCTATACGACATATTTCAAAGATTTGCTGATCATCATTTTAGATGTCTTCAAATGCAGATTATGCTACCCATGAATGCCAAACATACTTTTCACTTGATGAATGTCATTTAAAATCGCATATATTCCCGTTTTCATTGAATGTTTTAATAGGATTACTAGCATTTCTTGTATTATTTCATCATTATATACAATTACCATCAAAAAAGTCCGAATATTCAAATTCCCTGAGTGGATTTATTTTTTCATACGTATTCTACTTTACAACTAGAATAGTTTTACAATTAATTCCAGGAAAAATTTCACAAGAGACATTCTTAGGCGAAATGGTTCAATTAATTTCAGCAGCAGCCGTAGCTTTACCATTCTTATCCGTTTCATTTCAATCAGTCAGATTAATGCAATTATTTGATATTTCATTTCCAAAAATTGCTTCATATATACTTAATGTATTTAATATTGGAACTTACGCACTGATCTTTTTCTCACTATTTATTACACTTTCAAATGATACTATCGATAAATTGCGCTATCCTATCTGGATAGCAGCATTTTCATTCGCGATAATTAGTAAAATACTCTTCATATCAGCATCTTCTATTGTATTTGTATTATCTGACAAAACACAAAGATGTACAACAAAAAAGTTCCAATTCACAATTAAAACTGTTATTTTTATAACATCTTTATCCGTTGTATTTTCATCAATATATTCGTCCATAGAATATTGTAATTCTTTTCAATTTTTCACATTTAATCGTCCAGATTTAATAAATTCCGTTCTGCAATTTCAATTTCATTCACAGTATATTTTAGATCTTGTGCCTTTCTTTGCAATCAGCGTTTTTATGTTCCTTGTCCAAGGAATTCAAGCTGGAACAGCTACAAAGGATGATGATGATCCTACTAAAGAAGAAAATATAATAATGTCAGGATTGATTTAAATTAGTGTATTAATATGAATGCGAATTATGAATAAATGTTTAATATTTTGATTATTTCTTTTCTCAAATTCATTTTCTTCCAATTATTTAGGAGTCATTAAAAAAAAAAAAGGTAGTGGGGCCTCCAGGCACTTCGTGCCCTCTAGCCCTGAAGATGTTTAGTATAACTTTGTCCGGACAAGTAAGGGTCTATCGTCGCTACAGGAAAAGTTACAGGCGTTCCAAGGAAGTATACTTTGAGAAGCCTTTTCTGTCACTTTTCAGGAAAAAACATTTTTATTATTATATATAAATGAATTTTACAAAACCACCGTTACCCTTCTTTGGAAATAAGAGTAAATGTAAAGATATTCTATTGAGAGAACTTAAGAAACTACCGAATGGTCTAACATTTGTAGATTTGTTCGGTGGAAGTTTCTATATATCCCATTTGTGCCATACAATATTCCCAGACTCAAAGATTATATGCAATGACTTCGACAACTATATGGACCGTCTCAAACATATACCAGACACAAACAATATATTGAAAGCGTTAAAAGAAAAGATACCTATAGGTAAGATGGAACGTATACCATTAGATAAGAAAAATATTGTGAGAGAGGTTTTGAAAAAAGCAGAATATATAGACTGGGATAGTATATCTGCTAGACTATTATATAGTGGTGCTATAAGAGTTCATGACATTGAAACACTTATGTCAAACGTTTTATATCTTAACTATACAAATGTTTTCAAAGAGGACATAGAAAAATATATTGAGGGTATAGAGTTTGTGAGATGTCATTGGACAGAGTTGTATGAAAAATATAAAGACAAGGAAAATGTTTTCTTTATAGTGGACCCGCCGTTCTATAACACATGGGATTTTCAATACCAAGTAGACTGGACTTTGAGAGACTCTTTAGAAACTTTAGACGTTTTACATAACTGTCCATGCTTTTACTTTACATCCGATAAAAGTGGTTTGGAAACCGTTATGAGATGGTTAGAGGACATACATGACTATGAGTTTAGATATGACAAGATAGAATATGAGAGAGGTCCTATAAACCGGAGAAAGTGTCATAACAAAGAAATTTTACTAGTAAGTAAATGTGGTTTGAAATAGGACTACTTGTTTTAGGTTTTTTCCATTGTGTCATTTATTTATTTGACGTGGCAGAAAAGTACAGAGAATATGAAGATGAACCAATGCCTGCAAATGTCCAGTATATGTACTCGTAAGAGATATTTTTATCTAATATTAAATGGACGCACAGAACTTAGCGAATGCACAGCAACCTGGACAACCAAACCCAGAGAATATTCCAAATGAAGTTAGAATACAAACTGCAATGGCAAACTATGGTCAAGTGCCAACAGATGTACAAATGCAAACTGCCATGTCAAATGACGCTGCGTTAGGTTTGCCACCATGGTATGCAAATATGAGATGGAAAGAGTTTTATACAAACCCTGAAGTGGGATATAAACAACTTTATGCAGATGACGCGAACACAGGAGTTGACCCAGAATATGTTTTCTACCAGAGGAGAAACAGAATGTATGAGCTCCAGTTAAAAAATGCTATGGAACTCAGAAGGAAACGTAAGAGACTAGGCGGACATTAGATTTTTACATATAGTAAATGGGTTTCTTCAGTAGTATTGGAAACTTCTTCAGAAGAGTCGGAAGAGGTATATGGAATGGAATAAAAACCGTAGGAAGAGGAATTTGGAACGGAGTCAAAAATATTGGTAAAAGAGTAGGTCAGTTTGTTGGTATTATACCTAAAGACCCTGAACCAGAAGAACAAGCTCCTGTTATACAACAGCCTGAACCTGCACCACAGTCTAGTTGGCAACCAAATCCAACACCTCAACCGTATTAAAAATTATATTTTTACCGTTCGATAGTAGTTGTATATGAAACTAAGTTCTAAGTAAAACGCATGGTATAATGGAATTATTCTCTTTCTTCCATCTGTTGTAAACCATACTTGAAAGTCTGAAATACTTCCACTTGGTGGTTCGTATAGCTTTGTAGGTTTTTCGTAAAAGTCATTTGCCAAGCATAAAAAAGAGTTTTGCGCACCAGAAAATGAAGCATGAACGATAATAGCATCTGGGTCGAAAACATTTTCATATGTTCCATTAGGGTTTTCGACTTCATAAAAGTCCGGGTGTACTGGATATGCTGCAGGCTGATTTAACATCCTCATAAATCTATACCATGCCAAGTTGTTATATTTTGTAGAAATATAAACGTTTTCTCCAAGGTCTTCTATTCTATTGATTTTAACAGTTGCATTTTTCCTGTCATAAATAATATCGAGATGGTATTCTCCTTCGTCAATGTTGTACTGTTTTGCATATTCGAGATAGATATCGTTTATTTTTTCTTGAAAAGCTTGAAGAGTTGTTTCTAAGTTTACAAGCAAATTCACTTGTAAAAGTTTTCCCTGTTCAAATTTCTCATACATACGTTTTTCTTTGTTATAGTATCGAACTTCAAAACCGACCGTAAATGGGAAACCATGTATGGCTTCTGAAATGAACTTCATTCTACGAAAGCCAATAGCTTTTGTGACGGATGGGTCTCTTAACCATCTTAACGGGTAGTCAAAACGATAGCCTTCATGCTTTACGGTCTCTGTCTCAAACTTTTGACCGACATTAGTAAAAAGTTCATCTAATGGTTTAGTTGTAGCAACTCTAGAATTTTCTTTTTCTATTGAAAGCATATTTTATCTAGAATAAAAATGTCAAATGAAACAGCGTCTATGAGAGAAATACAACACAACCGACAACTCATTATACAAGCTCTAAATAAGAACACAACAAACTTTTCAAACTATTCTAAGATATCTGAGTCATTGAAAGAAGGAAACTTAAAACTGACATTAAACCAATGACAGATGAGTTTCTGTTTCAAGACAATAAGAACCATACTGTCTGTATAAATCCAACAAAAGGAACTTTAAACGAGAAACCTATAAATGAACTTCTTTTGAAAGCAGATGTTGACAACAAAGCAGACAAAACATATGTAGACGATGCAATAGCAAAAGAAGAAGAAAGAGCTGACAAAGCTTATGCAACAAAAGAACATACTCATCCTGAACTAGCAGACAAAACATATGTTGACAATAAAATGTCAAGTGAAGTGACAAGAGCTGAAAACGAATATTCTAAAAAGACTCATACACATACCATTGCAAATATTACAGACTTACAAGAAACCTTAAACAGTAAAAGTGCCGTTGGACATACACATACCATTGCAAATATTACAAACTTACAAGAAACCTTAAACAGTAAAAGTGCCGTTGGACATACACATACCATTGCAAATATTACAAACTTACAAGAAACCTTAAACAGGAAAAGTGCCGTTGGACATACGCATTCTATATCTGAAATAACAGACTTAAACGTTAGCCTTGAAAAGAAAGCAAATAAGACTCATACACATACAAGTTTTACAACTGTTGGTATAGAAAATATTGAAGGAACGGTTGAAGAAACTGGTGGGGATGTATTATATTGGAAACCTCCTAACTTTCCACAAGGTTTAACATCGGATGACGACATAACGACGATGAGAAACATTAGATGTAAAGATGTTTATGTCATGAAGGATGAACATAATATTAAATTCACTGCTCAAGATTTATATGACAAGAAAGCAGACAAAACAGAGCTTCAAACATTAAAGACAGAAATACTTCAAACATTATATCCTATAGGCTCTATTTATACGTCAATGAACTCTACCAGACCAGAAGTAGTACTTGGTTTTGGAACTTGGACTCAAATAGTCGACAGGTTTTTGTATTGTGCAAACTCTTCAAAGGAAACAGGTGGAAGTAAAACGATTTCAGGTGAAAACTTACCTGCGCACAGTCACTACATAGATTTAAGTACATCTCAAGCAGGTTGGCATAGTCATAGATATTGGAATTGGTCAGCAATGACAAAAGGTAAAGGATATGATGTTAAAGACAACGTTCAGTTTGCTATAAATTGTTACTGGAGTAACACTGAGGGAGGAGGAAACCATACACATCGCGTTTCAGGGTATACGCAAACAACGGGACAAAGTAAAGACTACATGCCACCTTACATGACAGTTTACGCATGGTATAGAAATGCTTAGTCGTCATGTTCCACTTCTTTAGCATATTCGTCAGGAGTTGTCTTATATTTGTTAGGAACTGTCTTTGAAAGTATACCACCTTGAACTTTGACAAGTTTGAAACGAGGTCTGACAATAGTAGTTTTATCTTCTGCTTGCAGTCTGTACATTTTGCCATGTTTGCCTAAAACTTCATAATATTCTCTTGTATACTTTCTTCTATTTTTACGAACACGAATGTGAGTACCTGTCGAGTTCCCATTGTTGTCATAGTCAATAGTATTTTCATATGGGTCGCGTTTAGGTATTTCTATTTTTACTTTGTCACCTTTCTGAAGTTTGAAGCCCGGCATTCTTTCTTGTTTGTCTTTTGACTAATTATTAAATATATAGTCTTTCTCTAAGTCAGGGTTGTTTTTCATTTCTTCGGGGAGTGGTTTCCCAAACCTTTTTGTTTACGGCTATTGTAAATATTTAAAACTTGTCTCATCTTTGCCATGGAGAAGTGTCTATATTTGTCGTCATATGACATTTCATTTGCTTCACCACCTTGTGGTTGTTTAAGTCTCTTAACATTTTTATACAACCGTCAATGACACCAAGAGCAGAATGGTTTTGGTCGACAATGAAATATTGGTTTACATTTTTTGAACGCAGATAGTTTTTACATCATCTGATTTGAAAGAACTTTCACAGTCAGATGTCAGTTTTGTTGGATGGTATTTGTCAACGAATATTGTCAAAGCTGCTAAGATATCTAAAATATTTTTGGACTGTAATGGTATGGCTTCACAGTATCTTGTGTTTTGACCGACAAATATTAGCCAGTATGGTGGTCCATCTGTTCTAACTCTCGGAATGTTTTCCAAGATATCCATAAACCAAGCATTTGGTGTTGAACTAAAGATTTTTATCATGAGTGCTTTTTTTGTTGCCTTAGAAACATAGGGGTCCTTGTTTGGATTCGTCATTTTTTAACCCATAAGAAATGGGTTTATTTGGCGCGTTAGCAGGAGTTGCATCCAGATTTTTGCCCGCAGTGGGAACAATAGCCAGAGGTGTATTTGGAGTTGGAAGGAAGATTTTGAGTACATTAGGTATACTTAAAGAGAAAGCACAACCTATTTACAAACTGTACAGAAAGGTTGGGATGTAGCACGAGATGCAACAAATCTTATTCCAAATCCTGAAACAAGAGGAAAAGTTCAAGGATGGATGGACAATGTAGGAAGACAAGCAGGAAACTATTATAACAAAGCAAATGACTACTATAACCAAGCAGGACACTATATGGACCAAGGTGAAAGATTCTTTAACAGAGGATATAACCATGCACAACAGTGGGTAAACAATAACCAACCTCAACCGCCTCAAACGTGGGGAATGTAAAGTTTTTTACTGAGATGAAATGAACAATACAGCATTGAGACAAATGGGTTCAAGATGGATTTGTCGGCTTCCAGCAGTTACACAACGTGTTGTCAAGTTCTTCCTATACCTCAGGAAGTTTTAGACCGACTTAAAAAACCTAAACAACCAGTTGAAAACAAACCAAACTAAAATTTTTTACTGAGATGAAATGACCGAAGAAGTTGAAACGGTAGATTTGACACCACAAACAAAAAGTTCAGAACCATTGTCAAAACCTGTCAAAGAACTTACAGATGAAGAGAAAAATTCAATAATAGAAAGTGCCAGGTCTGGAAATACAAACCTAACTACAAAGTCCTTTTCATAAAAATGGAACGGCAAGTATCTCAAAAAAGAATCAGACTCTCACAAATAAAATATTGAAGTCTGAAGGAGCTTTCGAGACAACAGATGGAAAAGTTTACTTCACTGACCAACAGTTCATTATAGAACATCTCATTGACTTAGAGTCGAAATATTCAAACTTTACAACAAACACAAAAAGTTGAAAGGAAAACAAAAACAAATGGCATATGATATTTATGAGATGTTGACGACACAACTGTTCCTGCAGGTGAGGTAAAGTCAAAGGAACCGAAAAGTGACGAAAAACCGATAGAAGAAGAAAAAACCAAAAAACTGAAGATAAACCAAAACCAAAGTTTAGTTGGAAACTAAACCAAGTCAACCTTCATTAGCTGGTATGGGTTGGCGTCAAAGACTTATGGCAGCAGGCGGTTATGTAAAGTAAAGAGAAAAAAAATATTTTTTTATTTTTATAAAAATGCCCCCATATAGAATGGATAGAAAGTCTGCTAGAATAAAAGCAGAGTTGCAAAGATATGGTTGGAGAGTTTCGAAGAATTTTAAATATAGGAAGGGAAGACCCATAAAAGTCTATGACAAATTGTCTGGTCTTCGCTACGAAATGGATTTGGAAACAGCACGTGCAAATTATCCAAACAGACTAGAGAGGTTAGAAGAAGAACGTCTTATGGACATGCCTTTCGATGTTAGTGAACCTCAAGTTGAAGGACACGACGGCTTTGCCAGATTCTACTGGAAACATGACGAACAATTGCATCCTTTGAGAAGGAAAAAAGGAAAAGGTGAAGACGCACATGTTCCATGGAAAGAACAAGATATGCATATGAGAAGTACCGTGAAGTTAGAAGTCAAATTACTTCTGGTCGAACCTTTACAGTAAACTTTGACGAAGGAAAAGAAAAAGAAGGCTTCATGGGAGTACTTGCTGCCATACAAGACGGAAATAAGAAAGGATACAATCTCAGATTGACCATAAGAGATTTGGATGGTCACATTTACTATGCATATGGCAATGTCACAACAGCCGCACAACTTCTTGACGCTTTCAAGACTACAAAGAGAGAACAAATGTTTGACTCCGACTCAGACATTTTGAATGCAATTGAAGGAATTGCAAGTGTCAAGTTCGAATGTACCAACCTAAACCCTCAAGCAGTCAGACAACATACTGGATACTTCCCGTTCAGAAATAAGTCTGACATTGACTTGACAAGGTATGGAATTTACAATTCAATTGAAACAATTGTCAATGAACCTTGTATTCTTACATGTCTCAGGAACTCTGGTCTTGTTACAGATGAGAAAATGAAGTATCTTGAGTCATGTGTGAAGACAAGGTACATTCTCAGAGGTCAATTGGCAAAAATTGCACCGTTGGCAAATGTCAATATCCGAGTCAACATACCGACTGAGAAAGGTTCTTCACATGACGACATGTTGTTGACTTCAAATTGCCATGGTTGAAGATTGTACTTGTCCACAACCACTTCATGTTGAACGAAAGTCTTACAAACCCATTGTTCGGAAAAGGCAAGTGCAACATTGTCAGAGCTGTAAACATTCTTTTCGAGAAAGGTTTGTTGGAACCAATTCCAGATGACAAGCTGACAGAAACTTTTGTACCAAAAGACGAAACAAACTTTTCACTGTTAGCAGACCAAAAGTTGTTCCAGACAAAGTTATAGTACATAAAGAAGTACACAATTCCACAAGGAGTTGGATTGTTCGGATACCAACCTGAACCAGAAGAACTTCCAATGAGGTTGCAAGAACTTCAAGATGCTATAAACAAACTTCCATTGAACATCCAATTGACGTCAAATTGTATTGGAGAGCATCGGAGTTAGGTCAGAAGGTTTTATATGAAACAGGTTGCTTCGACGATGTTTATGAGATAACAGGAGAAGTTTCTCAGAAGATAAGAGACTCACTTGAATTTCCACAAACTGGACCAATTGGTTGCGACAAGTTCGACTCAAACGAAAAAATATACTATGTCGACCTTAACGCTGCATACATGAGGTTTGTCCAATATATTCCGACTGGAATTCCAAACGAAGATGGTGAGTTCCCGGGAAGGAACTATACAGTTGGAAAAGTCATACAACAACTGTATGATTAGGAAAGCTTCAAACCCCAAACTTGCAATGACACTCAAATTGCTTATGAATTCGACATGGGGATATTCCATTAAGAAACCTCAAAAGATGAAGAGTAAACATTATGAGAAGGTCGACAACTTTGTTGAAAGGTTTTCTCCTTTTGTTTTGAAGTATGAGTTCACTCAAGGTCAAAATGGCTTAGTAACCACATTAAAACCTATTGTCGAACATTGGTCTTACCCTCAGTTCGCAAAGGCAGTCCTTGACAACTACAACAAATTCTTCTCCGAAGTCAAATCCAAAGTTGTGGTTTACTATGAGAACATTGACGCACTCATGACGAACGAAGAAGGATACAACAAACTCATTGAAATGGGAATGGTCGGTGAAAAGATGGGCTGTTTTAAGCTAGATAAGGTATTTTCCGAAGTTCATGTCCTCTCCAAGCGTAAGTACTGGGGCATACTTGAAGACGGCACAGAAATAAAACATTGCATGAAGTAAAAAATTGCATGAAGTAAAAACGTTTTTAAAACAATATATTTTTACATATATTAAATGCTTCAGGTTGAAAAACAAAGAACAAAAGTAGCAGATACAAAACCGTTAGACTATATCTTTACAAATGCTGGTAGGACTATTTCAGATGAAGAAATTTCATCCCGAGCGTACAGGTTTGACTATCCAGTTCGTTGGCTTCAAAGTCCTTCAGATGCAAAGGCAATAGGATTTAGAAGAGTTTTGTTTTCAAATAGAACTAACGCGTTTATGTTCGCAGTATATTTTCATGGGCAGTATAAAGGTTCTGATGGTCTAATAGACAAATTTGATGAAATGAGAATCTTTACAGTTCGTTCAGATGAAAGTCTTGAGAAAACTCTAAATGACTTTCAAACTCAAATGAACAAATACTATTGGGAATTTCAAGAAAAATACGACTCTTTACTAAATGGAACATACTATCTGAAACTAGAATATGACAAGATGAACTCCACCGTTTCATTTCAAAAGATTGAAATTAACCCTCCAAGAGATACAGAGTTTTTATTTTGGGGAGTAGACAAACGTTCTTGGGCACAATTTCTTCGGTTACTAAACCAGAACGAACCATTACCACCAGATGGTC